TGGGAAGATGAAAGAATGGATTTGCCTTTTCACGCACGATTTGCACTACCCTAGTCTTATATTTATTTGCCAAATGTGGGTAGGCGAAAGGACACCGATTTTAACCTATAAACATTGACGCATGAAAGAAGCATCGACGACTATCCAGTATACTATGCTATCTTGCTGGGACGACACGGCTTCAGCAACTGCGCTGGAGGAAATGGCATTGGCAAATGCGCAGTCAATAAACAACGCCTTGCTAAAAGAACCACTGAGGCAAAGAAAGAAGTCATGGGCATGTAATGAAGTTGACTTCGCGATGGTGGATGTATAGCAATGAGCTGGGTGTATTAAAAGACCGAGAGTGTTGAATTCTGCGGCGTCTATAGTCTGAAAGAACGGCAGAGGCATGTGGAATCCGTTTACTGGATTCTACGGACGCAATGGAGACACGGAAGGGGCACTTGCGCCAGTCGTGACCCTTCGATAATTCCGTTTGTGTTTCCTACGATCTGCCGCACTGTTCACTCATACTCCGATGGCTAGCGCTTTATCGCGTTCTGGAGCAACCTTTGCAAGCTTGCCTCTTCAGGATTGAAGGGTTGGCAATGTGCCTGAATATATGGGTCAAGGCTGTTCATTTCATCTTATTGTTACGGTGCCCATTGCGATGAAAATTTACGAACTTTAATCGGGTGATTGGATTTAATTTAGCTGCAGATGGCTTGTGCGCAGAGTTACCAAGTATTCTGGCATGTTGTTGCAGGATCTGTACTATCAGAGGAGACAGCGGATGGGATCGTCGTACTGATGGTAGTAATGGATGTCAGTGCAAACTGTAAAAAGCGTTCTTTCTCTTACCCACGTTTAGCATATAATGATCAAAACTAATATTAGCCGGTACAATTCATGCGTAGAAAAGAAAACTTACCTTTATTAGGCAAACACTCGGGCAAGGCTAACCTGTACACTCAATTCTTCTGTTCCATACTACGAACACCAACAAACATTGTACCGAGCAGCTGTTTAGCTTAAAATGCAAAATCTAGCTGTATTTTGCTCTTAACGGAAGATCAGGGGTGCAACGATTTAATCTTACTTCTACCGAATTTAGTGTTAAGTCTAAGCTGGACGCTGTGACAATAAATATTGAGGGAACAAAAGTTTGTAAAATAAATGTTTGGACGTCCGACAGCAATGCGCCTGTCTGGGGAATGCACGCAACTGGTGCGGCAACTGCAAGAAGTGGCTAGCATATGTCAGATTGGTAACACGAATTCGACAAATCTATGGTTACGAAGTCGACGAACCCGGGGTGCCGAAGCTGACACCTCTTGAGTTACGAAATCGACTCCATCTCTGCAACGGTGCAAACGAATCTGCTTTTCATTATAATCGGTTAACATACCGATGACACGGTTGCGCTTCTTCCAAAAAGAACTTGCAATTTTCTCGATGTCGAACTCGGGCTTGTCACACCCAATGTCGTGAAACACGTGTTGTATTTTCTTCCGCAAACACACAAGCTGAGGGCTTTTTTTACAAAGATGATGTTATAAACTTGGCTCTGAAGAAGGAGCCATCCATGACTGATGCAATGTAGTTTCAAAATGAGCCTGGAAATTCTATGTACCATATTTTACAGCCTCCTAGTACGTTGCAAGCACCTTTATTCAGATGCGAGTGCCGGTGCTGAGTTTGCTGATCTTTCTCGCTTGCGTACAGACTAGGTATGATGCCGACTTCCGAAAATCAAGATAGTGTTAATCATTTTTACATCCTCAGACTCCAGCTTTGATGGCGCCCATACAAGAGGCGGACCAGAAAAAAGTCAAACGACCGAGCAGTTAGGTCGGCTCAGTGTAAGTAGCTAATTCAAAATCTCGTACTTTGTGTGAAGCGGTGCTGACTCGGCAAACCGTTGAAAACCATGTACACTCTTGCTACGCATTAATGATTAACTTTTGATGCTTTATATCAGTGTCCATCCACAAGCATCTTCAATTGTAAAGGAAAAACAGCGACGATGAGTAGGACACAAATTTCGGCGAACCAAAGTCACAAATGATGCGGTCAATGTAGCTACTACGTCTCATTTTATTTAAGAATCTAACAAAATCATGAAACGGGTTCCAGTGAAATTGCATCACAAAAAAGGAAATACTTTACGTGCTGAGGTCTTCGATCTGATCGTTGTGCCGGGGTGTGATAAAGAGCAAGATATGCTCTTCGAAGAACAGTGGTGTTCAGGTTGGAAACGCATAGCTAAAAAATCAATTGCCGGACAGAAGTAAGGACGGTTTCGGGTTGACCTTCGAAGAACACACAGATGTTCTGTGTGTGCTGTTGATCCAGATGCGAGTAAAATATGCGTGAGTTAAATTCTTGCGCGTGGTTCTGTAAGTGAAACTCCAAGAACTCAATCTGCTGGGCTAAAAAACACTGTGCCACACCCGCGGATTGCAGAGAGAAGATCGTTCCGCTAGCCTTGCTACAGAGGGTCTTGCGGATTTAAAGGTAAAACTGAGAATGTATTATATACCACGTTACTCTACCGTGCATAACCGGATGCTTCATCGGTTTCCATCGATCCATCAATATATCCAGCAGATTGTCCCCAGATAGGCGCAGAGGATTCGCTAAAGAAAATCCATCCAACATCAATGAATCATATGTCGCCAACATCAATCAATCTTCTTTTATGCTTCCCCCATAAAGAAATGCATACTAGCACGGAAATTTGCGACGAATTAATAGCCTCTGTGTAACGGGGTTGCACGAAATTATGGTACGTTGTACCAGGGGTGTTACACACCTGAGGTTACCCCTTTGTGAAGGTGATATAGAATATCTTATTGGTTTGTAGGGGCTGACGAGTGTCAGCCATTAGGTACGAAAGATCTTTGAGTAGGATTAAGATATTCTATAGGCTTTAACAAAACAAGATCAGTTCCCATTTTGATCGGAAGGACACGTGGCTTGCGAGCCGTCTTGATCGTTGATCACTGATCACTAAGAGCTAGCGACACCTCCTCGAGGTAGCTACTCTTGAGCACTGAGTGCTGTCGATTCACTAAACAGTTAGGTCCCCCTGGAACAGGGATCCGAAGCTGTAAAGCTTGTTGACTCGTAACGTCATTAGTTCTTTGGAACTAAGTTGCTCGTAGAGCGTTAAGTCTTCCTCTAACTTAAGGAGCTGTGTAGCCCCGCTACACTTGGTAGCACTAGTAGTCAATCTACGCCTGAGTCTTTAAGACTGATCCTCTGTGGGGATGGAAAACTCCACTCCCCTATCTGAGGCCCAAAAGGTCGCGCTTGATAAGCTGACCGCATCTTTGGGTCCAGAGTACGTGGAGTTCCTTGTTTCACAAGATCCTGACGTGCTTAATGCACGTGTTGAAAGCTTCATGCAGTATGAAGAGACCCTTTTAGAGCAGGTCCAAGACCAAATAGCGTCGGCTATGCCTACACGCTACGTGTCTGTACCAGACGAAGAGGCTAAGCCTCGTCCACTTAAAGTGGAAGTAAAAAACTACTCCGGTAAGGAGGTTGAGAACCTCATCCTCTGGATCCGTGAGATCGAGATGACCATGAGATCAGGTCTGATCACGCTTGACCATCAACAGTTCTCGCTGGCTATCTCGAAGCTCGATGGTAGAGCTAGAGAATGGGCCTTGACGTGTAGCACGTCGGTGGACATAGCATTTCCCACATGGGAGTCGCTCAAGTCACATTTGGTACAGGTGTTTTCTCCACCTAACCAGGCTTACCGCGTGCGTTCACGCTTTCTTTCTACCCGCCAGGGTAAGAATGAACTATCGGACATTGTCCAAGAGCTGCGAACTCTCATGGCTGCAATGCAGTCTGACCCTCTGCCTGAAGCAGTCCATGTGACTATCTTCATGGAAGGTCTACGTACTGGCATTGCCAGAACCGAGGTTTTTCGGGTTCACCCCTCTACGTTTGAAGAGGCTGTGAGAATTGCTCTTAATGCTGAGCATAACTTCAAGTCGGCTAGACTTGGTTGGAATGGATTCAATCGTCGCTCTGTGAGAGCAAACTATTCGGGTACCACTGCCTATAATGGGCCGGAACCGATGGATCTCAGCTATGCTGAAGATGGAGGGGAAGCTGAGCTTCAAGCTGCTGAGCAGCAACACGTCGTACGACGATGCTTTACGTGCGGAAGCACTAAACGCTTGCGGCCTGGTTGCCCTTTGCGTAAGCAACGTCAGGCTACGAGCCAACACTCTACCCCGAGTCAGAAGTCTGGCATGGCACGGGGAAATGCCAACACCCAGTAGGCGCGGGGCGCCCTACTGGGGAAAAACTATGTTTGTTACACCTTTAGAAGGAAAAGGAATGCAGGGCTTATCCCCAAAGAGTACCATACCTACAGGTATGGTGCGTGGATACAAGTCTGGCTTGTTGGTCGCCGAGGCAAAAAAAAGGGCTTTGAGAAGCCTTGGTCGATATTGATCGATTCTGGAGCGTCTTGCAATTATGCTCGACGCCGTTCCCTTGAAGGAAGCTAGCGTTATGCTGAGGCGCTTACAGCGCATGAGGGTGATTCTATCACGGTTCGTTTAGCGACTGGAAGTCGCGTAACTGCGCCTAAAGTTCCATTGAACTTAGATATAAAGTTTTTAGACTTTGACAGTATTGAGCGCTGTCTTGTCCTAGATTTGGACTCGAGATATGATCTCATCCTAGGTATGGCTTGGCTTGAGCGCCATGAGCCCTGGATTGATTGGAGGTCTAAGACCTTAGGCGCTACGCGCAATGTTCCTAGCGAAGCTTTGGAGAGTCATGAACCCACCTTCGCGAGGCAACAAAAGCGCTATTGGCGCGAGCCTTTGACAGAATATGTCAATGTGCTGGATATTGGAATGTCTGAGTTATCTAACTCCAATGTTACAAACATAAGTTTCGAGCCTAGCTCGTCTGAAACTAGTGAAACGGCACGTACTCCGTTGAGTGTTACTCGTTGTGATGACGAGTCACTGCATGCTGAAAGCATGGTTGGCCTAGGGCCGAGTGATCAAGGATGTGATTCCTTTGATGTGTGTATGGTGGCACGTGAAACTACACCGAGTGCGGTCGGCCGTGAGAGCACCGCACTGAATGTCGGTAATGACATTTTCGGCGATACGCTATTTAGTGTGGGCGGCCGTGAAGGCACCATGCTTAACGTCGGTAATGGCCTTGTTGGCGATTCGCCATATAGTGTGGGCGGCCGTGAGGACACCACACCTAATGTCAATAATGATATTGTTGGCGATACGCCGTATAGTGTGGACGGCCGTGAGGGCACCACGCTTAACGCCGGTAATGGCGTTGTTGGCGATACGCCGTATAGTGTGGGCGGCCGTGAGGGCACCACACCTAATGTCAGTAATGATACTGTTGGCGATACGCCGTATAGTGTGGACGGCCGTGAGGGCACCACACCTAATGTCGGTCAAGACAAAAGCTCTCGCATAGAGCGTACTATGGTTGGTAGTAACCATGGGGACAATATTGTCCCGACCCCTAAGGGGTGTAAGGTCTCGAAGAGACGATCGAGACGCCGGGTAGCTACTTTTAAGCGCCAGGCGTCCTCACAGTCACATAGTGATAATAGTAATACACTATATACACTTGTTAATGGAGTCACTGGTCAGGTTGATGGCAGTGTTTGCCTTGAAACCCTTCCATCTGTGGACGCTCTTTGTGAGCTGGACGAAATGTCTGATGGCGAGTTTAGCCAGGCCTTGAAGGCAGGAGAGTTATCCAAGTTAGCGGTCATTAGACCTGATACTGAGTTGAATTCTTCCTCGTTGATGGATGAGTCTGTCCTAGAGGATACAAAGGCGGCACTTAGTGCACGAAGTGGATCTTCGATCCTTAAAGATCCTTTGGATCCGTTCTATCCTTTAATTAAGGAATTTCAAGATGTGGTGTGTCACAACCCACCTTCTGCCTTACCTCCCGATAGAGGTGTACGTCATGAGATTGACTTAGTTCCTGGAACTAAATACTGTGTAACACGGCAGTGTCCTTTGCCTAAAGAACAGTGTGACGTCATTGACGAATTCTTTCGTGCTAAGCACGCGGCTGGAATGGTTCGGGAGAGCAAGTCTCCCCATTCAACACCGACATTTGTGTCAAAAAGCCAAGTGGCAAGTGGCGTATTGTGCATGCTTATAATAAGCTTAATGCAGCCACTATACCGGCGCAGACGCCTATTCTTTGAAAGGATGTGCTTCAGAACAATATGGCAGGATGTACATTGTACAGTGCACTCGACTTAGTCGGTGGTTACTACCAACTGCTAATGCGAGCAAGCGATATTCCGCTAACAGCGGTGAGTACTCCGAGCGGTATGCTCCGGGAGTGGCTTGTTATGCCACAAGGGCTATCTAACGCCCCGGCTACGTTTAACCGGCTGGTAACGCAACTATTCAGACCTCATCGAGGCTATGCACAAACGTACTTTGATGACATGTTTGTCCATAGTCGTGCAATGAATGGGCGATCAGATGTGGATAACCACATTGATCATTTACGAGCTGTGCTCGAGTGTATGCGGACGAATAAGTTGTACGCTAGCGCATCGAAGTGCATCTTTGGTGCAGAAGAGATTCCCTTTCTAGGGTGCTTCATTGGGAAGCGAGGCCTTCGAGCGGATCCCGCTAAGGTGAAAGCCATAGTCGATTGGCCGGTTCCCAAGAACCAAAAGGACTTGCGTAAGTAACTTGGCCTTGCTAATTACTTACATAAGAACAGTGCAAATTACGCAGATATGGCTCGGTCATTGTCCAATCTCCTTAAAAAGGATGTGGGTTGGTGTTGGGGTAACACCGAGCATAATGCTTTTGAAGCAGTTAAGGGGAGTATCCTTCATGCGCCAATGTTGGCTTTGCCCGATTCTGGTCGGCCTTTCAGTGCCGTCTGTGACGCATCTGACTGCCATAGGCAGTGCTCTGTTAAAAACAGATGTCGACGGACGCGAACGCGTCATCGCATTTGAGTCTCGGCAGCTTAAAGCTGCTGAAAAGAACTATCCTGTTCATGACAAAGAGCTACTTGCTATGAAGTACGCTCTTGTCAAATTCAGAGTCCATCTGCTTGGCTCTAAGCCGTTTGTGATCTATACAGATCATGCGTCATTACGCACTGCGACACAGTCGCCTCATCTCTCACAGAGAATGGCTCGTTGGCTTTCCTTCTTTGCCGAATATAACTTCGAGGTGAAGTACAAGCCAGGTAAGCAAAACGCTTTGGCTGATGCGCTATCGCGTCGACTGACTATGAGCTTGCTCCTGTTACGACTCTGTCGTCGTCAGTCCCTGACTGACGACAGAGTCGTTCAGTGTGTAGCTTTGCTACGTGCTCTTGGGAGCGATGAGTTTAAAGACTCGGACATAGAATTGTCGGCACGTTTACGTGCGAGGCTACATCGATATTCCATCGATAATGGCCTGTTGTGCTATCGCACGGATATTGAGGATAAGCCTCGTATCGCTGTACCTCATGATGAGGAATTAAAGTATCGAATCCTCTATGAGGCACATGATACTGCTTTAAGTGGTCATCTCGGTCGTGAGAAGACTTATAGCTCGGTGAGCCAAAGTTATTGGTGGCCCAAACTTTATAAGTGGGTGCGCACCTATGTGCGTACGTGCAAAACGTGTCAACGGGTTAAACCCTCGGCCCATGCGGCGGCGCCGCTGGCTAATTTGCCAGTACCCACTGGTTGTTGGGAGTCCATGAGCATGGATTTTGCGTTTGGCCTACCGAAAGATTCGATAGGCAACACTGGTATTGTGGTCTTTGTTGAACGATTAAGCAAAATGGCTCACTTAGCGGCGGTGCCGGATAGCATCGATGCTGAAGGTACAGCAAAGCTGTTTATCGACCGTGTGTTTCGCCAACATGGCTTGCCGGTGGCAATTATCTCTGATAGAGAGCCCCGCTTCACTGGGAAGTTTTGGAAGTCTATCTTTAAGGTGCTTGGCACTCGGTTGGACATGTCCACAGCGGATCATCCGCAGACCGACGGTCAAAATGAGAGTTTAAACCGCGTCATCAACGACATTTTGCGCATTATTTGCGCTGATACGCCTAGGCGTTGGAGCTCAATGCTCCCTGTTGTTGAGTTTGCATTAAATAACGCTGTTCATGCCTCCACAGGCTTTACTCCGTTCTATATAAACGGTCTTACTCACCCTTGCGTTCCGTTAACGCTATCACTACGTGAATAAGGGCTTGGTGGGGGAGAGGTTGCCGATCGGCTTGCTGATATCAGCCCTGCTACTGTCCAAAAACAGGTAAGCGAGTTTCTCGCAACGCGATTAAATGTCTTAAGACATGTGCGTGACGCAATGGCTGATAGCCAAGATACCCAAAAACAACAAGCTGATGCCAAAGGCAGAAATTGTATTGAACGTTATGAGGTCGGAGACCAATAACTACTCAATGCTAAAAATCTACCTACAAATGTAGTGTCTGCTGTCTTTAAGACAAAGTTGCGTCCACGCTTTATTGGACCGTTTACGGTCACGGCCAAGAAGGGACTTGCGTATACGCTAAACCTCCCGCGCAAATTGCGCACACATCCAGTGTTCTACGTAGGCTTACTTAAGCCGTACCGGGATCCTTCCCATGTGAACTTGGAGGTGCTTGCGCCGACGACAAGGGCACTACCCCGGATTGCTGTAGACGAATCAGCAAGTCCAACTGAGCCTCGCTCCGAGTTTGAGCTTGCTCCATCGCCTGAAGGCGGCTTTGCATCGCATCCAGCATGCACTGGGACTTACCCAAGGCCTCTTGAAGACCCTTCACTTCGAGAACCAATTTCTCGTGGGCCTCCACCGGTACACCGGCCGCCACCGACTTTGCTCGATGAGCATGGGTGTCGTCAGTTTCATGTCGAGAGACTACTGAAACGACGTCATCGTCAGGGCCAATAACACTATCTGGTAAAGTGGCGTGGGTACCCTGAGTCTGAAAACTCATGGGAATTTTAGGTACCCCTTCGGCAAGACTGCCCATATGCTTTGGAGACTTTTGAGCATCGCGGCCATGGTCATCTCGAGGCCGAGGCCGTTCCCCGCCACTAGTGGTGCGGGTTGGCGGGTTGTTGGCCACAGACTGACCAGCACTCGCGGATACCTTAGTAGCCGAAGCATAGCGCGTGCGCTTGCGCAATTGGCCTCTGGCCTTAAGCTTGGAATAATCATACCGAAGCTTGCGTCCAAGACGCACGTCAGCCACACTGGCACTAGCCCTTAGAGCAAAAATGTTGCTGAGGCGACGCACATAGTGCTTCCAGTGAACAAAGGCATCGTCTTCTTCGCTCACTGTTTCGCCTGCGAACAAGAGAATGGGTATACCCTTGATCGGTGGAACCGGTTAACCACGCGCTTGCATGTCAAGGCGTGCCTTGTATTGACTTTGAGTCGTTAAGTGCGGCTTCATGTACCTCTTGCGAAGTGCCTGGCAGCTCACCACCTCCTCAAAAGTCTTAGGCCCATGGCCAATGACCCACGTTGCCAATGTTTGGCCGGCCGCTTGACGTAGACGTTCCTCCACACTGGGTGGGGTGAACACATAGTCACGCTGGCGTTCAAGGGTTGTAGACATTTGTACATGACGCTGAGCGTTTTCTTCTCTTTGAACAAGCAGTTGTGGTTGCTCATCGAGCGGGTTCGTGATGATAGTCTCATCAGACCCAGACGCTGCATACTGCGCTGGTGGCGCGCTCGCACCTCCACGTTCAGCTAACGGATTTAAGGTGTTCGAAAGTTGTGCCTCAGGCATCAGTGAGCCGGACATTGTCCCTGTATCACCGCGGACACTGGTATCGCTACCATAGTCCACCTCCTCCTCTATCCCGAGGTAGTCACACAGAGCCTTGACTCATTTGGTGGTGAGGACATCGTGCTAAAGCGTACGTTACCGTGAGGTTCACCGTACGCGCACTGTTCTCGCTGAGAACACAAGTTCGATTGACGTTTTGGCAAACGTCAGTCTGGTGGGGGATGGTGTAACGGGGTTGCACGAAATTATGGTATGTTGTACCAGGGGTGTTACACACCTGAGGTTACCCCTTTGTGAAGGTGATATAGAATATCTTATTGGTTTGTAGGGGCTGACGAGTGTCAGCCATTAGGTACGAAATATCTTTGAGTAGGATTAAGATATTCTATAGGCTTTAACAAAACAAGATCAGTTCCCATTTTGATCGGAAGGACACGTGGCTTGCGAGCCGTCTTGATCGTTGATCACTGATCACTAAGAGCTAGCGACACCTCCTCAAGGTAGCTACTCTTGAGCACTGAGTTCTGTCGATTCACTAAATAGTTAGGTCCCCCTGGAACAGGGATCCGAAGCTGTAAAGCTTGTTGACTCGTAACGTCATTAGTTCTTTGGAACTAAGTTGCTCGTAGAGCGTTAAGTCTTCCTCTAACTTAAGGAGCTGTGTAGCTCCGCTACACCACCGGTCATCGTGAGTACGCACTTTTTTTTGCCCTTGAATGCGGATCCGTGTGAAGGTGTCCATCTCTCCAATGCGACACAAGTTTCTTCGAACGTATTCAACTTTTCTTTCGAAATGGGTTGTACAAACGCCGAAATCAAAGTCAATTTGCTATATGTTGCCAGTGGCAGTGGTCGATTTTGGGATCAAGCTTTTCCCCTCCATCATAAAATTTCTAACAATCTCTGTCATGATTTTCATCGTCATGTGTGTCTCCAGTTTTGCGGCTGACTATTTGGCTGGAGTCACCAACAGACGATTATACCTGCTGGTCGGTAGTTCCAGTTTAAACAGGATACCGCCTTGTTCAGTGTGCTCCAGGTCAGCGCGCGCACTGCCTGTACCGTTTGTCGGCATTTTGGGGCAGAGAATAATTATTAGTGAGTGTGGTGTGGTCAGCTAAACACTGTACGAGTCATATGAAGCTGGTGTAAAGGGTGACATACAAGGAACTCAATCCAGTCAAAACAAGCTCTTTAATCTCTGCACCTCTGATTTTACATTTATAGCATAGTACAGATAACATTTAACGTTCAAGCTGATGAGCTGTTCGTGAAAACGTTTGACGGCGTTTGCAGTACATGTGGAGGATGAAGGCGTGTCTGTTTGTCTGTTGTGTCGATTGTAGACTAGCTGTATGATTTTCGTGCTGCATATCCAATGAGCAGCCCATAAGTGAATATTTTAGATACGATATATGTACTTAGCAACGACTTTATCAATCACACAGTCGAGACGAGACTGCGAATACAAATGACAGCCGAATTGAACGCAGAGTAGAGTGGATACAATACAGCGGTGTAAAGCAACAGAGGTTAACGAAACTTCCGACCTGTACCCTCGACTGAAACAAATTGGCAAGCATAGTTCATGAACATGTTGTAATCACTGACACACCATGATGCTTCCTTGAAGTAGTGCATTCATCAGTCATCTCGCCATCTAATGGACCAATCTCCCTTGGCAAAGCTCGGCTCGACCACCTTACCCTGACTGACTGCCTCGCACTTCTTCCGCTGCTCACTGCCGTCAACAAGGAACCCGAACACGACGCCCCTGCGTGCCGCACGCCGGACCAGCTCTCTTTTGTGCGCCCGCCGCTGGCCCTCAGCCCTCTTCTCGCGCATTTCGTCAGTCTCCTCGACTTTCTCGGATCTTCCCCTCTCCCCGATGACCCCACGGTGGTCCTTCGACTGGGTCTGCAGTGGACTCACGTTGTTGCTGCTGTAAATATTGAGGTTACTCTGCACATTAGGACCGACATCTGCTGCCCTGCAGCGCCCCAACCTTAGTGTCTCGTCATTCACCTCCCGCACAGGCCCGTCTTTCAAATGGGGCTTGCCAATATCAATTGTGTCGCCCTCGTCCTCATAACTACTATCCTTCCCCGCTATGACCATTGGGGTGCAATCCCCACATCTTCCAAGAGCATTACCTGGGTCTTCCTTCTCGCCAAACACCTTGTTTTCTACGAGATGGAGGGGGACAAGCATGCGCGTGTCACCCTTGGTATTCCTCGAAACGCCCCCCATCTGCGCCTCTCTTTGCAAAAACCGCACAAATACCTGCTCAATCTCCTTGTCCAGACGTCCGGGTTTGTTCCCACGACACCGCGAAGAGCAGTACGTTACTTCTGACTTCGCCTTTGAGTTTGTCTCGGCTTTGGACACCTTGGATGATGATGATGATGTCGTGGTCGTGTTTGTCGACTTTCGGCTGGAAATGACACGTCCGCAGGTTCGACAATAGGGGATGGCATCACCGTTGGGGAAGAGGTAAAAGGGTGCCGTCATCGCTTGGGACTTGGACGGACGGGCCCAAGAGGCCATTCGACTTATTCTAGTGGAATGAAGAGAGGATATTTGAGGAAGGTGAGGCGTGAGGCTGTTGCGGGTGGTTTGGATGAGTCGTCGTGAGGTGCGGTAAAAGAATTGGTCCGAATGGTATTGGTAGATAAATGAGGACGGACTACGTGGTGGTTTTATGAAGAAGAGAAAGGAAGACTTGAAGGGCGCTATACTGGAAGGTGAGGTTGGAAACGCACTACGTGATCGATAATAGGTGATTGCTCCCTGCTGGATTCCCTAGCTGAATCTCGATGGTAGGTGGTTTTGTTTCGGAGTCAGGTAAAAATAGGATGGCTTGAGAAGAAGTGCTTTGGTTTGTTGGCCGGTTACTTCATTGCTTCATTTGGACTTCCCTCTTTGCTCGTGTGGACACCGTCGATGCTGATAAGACCGGTCGAACTATGATTGGACATCATTCGACTCCATCGGATAAATGATACGTTTCAGTGGCTGAACAAAGACGTTTGAATGAAGGGATAGATAGGTCACTATTGGTAATGGTGTTGGTTACTGATACTAATGACCATATGTCATGGACGACACTGTGTGATAGTGTGTAACGATGGGATCGACTCATCGTTTTGTTACTAATATTATAGAGTCGATATCGATAGGCTTAGAGTAGTACAACGAGACGAACTAAGGACCTAGCTAGATGATAATTCACTTTCCATTTTACCTTCTTCTAAGCTCTCCCACCTCTACTCGCTCTTGGCAGTTGCCAAAAGTCAAAAGGTTATGAGCCCAACTACGCCGGATGCGGGCGACATACTCCGCGAAGATAACTACTTCGTGTGGGAGTTCAACGCAAGGATGAGGCTGGCAAAGAAGGGATTGCTAGAGCACCTAGACGCTATGAAGGCCCCAGAAGAAGGAGACGCAAGCGCGTCAACTTGGAAAGTCAACGACATGAAGGCCTTCGCGATTTTGTCCACAATGATCAGCACAAATCTTCAGTCAATGGTGCGCACGGCAGAGACAACGGCAAAAGCATGGGACATACTGAAGACTTTCTTCCTGCGGCAAAGTATGCACAATCGTGTGCAGTTGCGGCGGCAACTACATGAGTTCAAGTTGGCCAAGGGAGGAAGCATCATGGATCACTTCCTGAGATTTGACGAGCTGTGCATGACTTTGCAAGCTGTGGGACAAGAGATCTCACAGGATGAGCATTTGGTCATCCTATTGGGTAGTCTAACGAGAGACTATGACCCCATCGTCAAGATAATTGAGAACATGCCCGGAATGACACTGTTTCACGCTAAGGAAATGCTGAGACGGGAGTACGATGGAATGGCGAGGACAGAACACCAAGAAATCGCACTGAAAAGTACGCACACTTCCAAGTACAAGAAAGGTCCGCGCAGACATATGGGGAGATCAAGTTCAAGAGGTGAAAAGTTCTCGGGAAGGTGTTACCGATGTAACAAATATGGGCACAAGCGTCAAGATTGCAAGGCTGAACAAGTGGAGACAGAGCGATCTGGAGAAGAGAGAGCATTTACTGCGTCAAGTCGGACGTCAGCTGGATGGTTATTGGACAGTGGGGCAAGCAGCCACATGTGTCCCGACAGAAATGAGTTTTCGAATTTAAACTCACTGACGGACCCGATCATGATCACCATAGCAGACGGCAGCGAAGTGGAAGCGCAAGGTGTTGGGACAGTGCGCGTGCAACTCAAGACTGGAGAAGTGATCAGGATCGAAGAAACGCTATGGGTGCCGGGCCTAGACCGAAGGCTACTGTCAATATCGGCATTGTCAAAGAGGGGTCTACAAGTGATCTTCTCAGATCTGAGCTGTCAGATCAGAAGTAACACGGAAGTCGTTGCCCAAATACCAAGACGAAACAAGATGTACGTCTTAGAGTGCAGTCCGGCTGAGGTAGCCAACGTTTGCGAAGAGACATCTCAAGAGCAAGAATCAGGTGACGGATCAGGAGCGGCTGATCTACAAGTGTGGCATGCAAGATTAGGTCACCTGTCAACGAAGATGCTCAAGGGTATGGCAGGTTGCGTCAATGGATTAAAGATCAAGAAGAATCAAGGCGTTGAAGATGATATCGAGATCTGCGAAGGGTGCATCATGGGTAAAGCAACCGTCAAGACGTTTCCGAAGTCACCATACGGACACGTGAAAACCAAGGAAGTGTTGCAGTTGGTCCACAGTGATGTCATGGGACCTATGGAATCGAAGTCTCGAGGAGGATCAAGATTTGTCGTGACTTTTATTGATGATTATTCGAGATATATAGTCGCATACTATATTGAGAACAAGTCGGAAGTGACGGATCGCTTTATAGAGTATAAGGCACTTATGGAGAATCAACTGTCCAAGAAGATCAAGTGTATCAGGACGGACAACGGGACGGAATACGTCAACAGACGTTTCTCCGGTGTATGTCGAAAATCTGGTATCATGCATCAGACGACGGTACCCTATTCGCCACAACAGAATGGGCTGGCCGAACGCATGAACAGGACACTGACAGAGCGGGCCAGAGCAATGCTCAGCCATATGCAAGTGGATAAAATTTGGTGGGCTGAGGCGATGAACACGGCAGTCTATGTGACAAACCGAGTTCCATGTGCTAGTCACCCGACTAAAACTCCATTTGAGTTCATCTTCGGGAAGAAGCCTGACCTCTCCGAGATGTGTGTATTTGGATCAAAGGGATATGCACATGTCGACAAGTCGAACAGGACCAAGATGACCAAGAAGGCGATTCGATGTATTTTTCTAGGTTACTCGGATCAAATCAAGGGGCTTCGAATATGGGATGAAGATGCCAAGAGGGTGACGCACACGAGATCGGCTAAATTCGATGAGAGACCACCACTTCAGTACGTGCAACATTACAGCAGATCAAGTGACCAAGCGTTTCGCGCTGTTCATGACAAAGACACTGTTTCTATCGATTTAGAACAGCCACGAGTCACGAAAGACATGGATATAGCAATGGAGGACAGTCACAGTGTTCAAGAAGAGAGTCACATGCAAGACAGGCGTACAACAACGATGGCTCTACCATCAAGATGCAGTAGCAAGATGCCTGAACACGTGGGTTCCAATGCTGACGATCCAATGTTTGAAATTGATGATGTGACGATGATTGAAGAAGATCAAGAATCGGCTGAAGAAGTGTCAAGACAAGGACAGATGGTGATACGACCAAGTCGACAGACAAGTATTCAAGCATCGCAAGAAACCGCGATGGTTCCACTAGAATCGGTTCAACATGGACAATCTCAAGCGTTAATACCAGTGAATGGTGCTGATGAGGACTTTTATGACGGCTCAGAAGTGTGTCAAGAAAAAGGCACAAAGAGACTACGTATTGGGTATGAGCAAGCATGTGCAGCGTTCGAGACCCCAACGACATACGAAGAAGCTCTTAAGTCACTTCGTCGTGATAATTGGTACAAGGCCATTCAAGCTGAGCTCAAGGCATTAGAGGAAAAGGACACCTGGACTGTTCAAACACAGCGTCCAAACCAGAAAGTGATTGGAACCAAGTGGGTGTTCGCACTCAAACGAAACGAGCTGGGTGAGATTATTCGATACAAGGCACGTCTTGTAGCACTTGGCTACAGGCAGACGTATGGAGTTGACTACATGGAGACATATTCACCTGTGGCAAACCTCAACTCAATACGGGTGTTTTTGGCGGTGTGCTGTCAAAAGGGGATGTTGATTCATCAATATGATGTCGACACTGCTTTTCTGTATGGCGTTTTGGAAGAAGAGGTATACGTATACCCTCCTCTGGGTGTTCGTGCAGAACACAATCAAGTGCTTAAGCTGAATCGCAGTCTGTATGGGCTGAAACAAGCGGCCGCTACATGGTACAAGACAATTTCGTGTGTGTTTGTGGAGATGGGGTTCTCTTTATGCGTGGCAGACTCATGCATTTTCGTCAAAGAGACCAAGGGCTCGTGGATTTACGCTGCATTATATGTGGACGACCTTCTAATTGGGGCTGAATCTACTGGAGTGATGGAAGATGTGGCAGCTCAACTATCAAGTCGTTTCCAGTTGAAGATACTAGGGGGTGTTCGATACGTTCTTGGAATCGAAGTCAAGTACCTGCGCAACAATCGACGTCTGAAGATCAGTCAAGGATCGTGTATATCAAGAATGGTCGAGAAATTTAATCAAGTTGATGCGAAAGCAGTGTCAAATCCAAGTGTTGAAGGGCAAGCGATGGTCAAGATGGACAAAGCTGACACAAGAATGAAGAATCGACCGTATCGATCGTTAGTGGGGTCGTTGTTGTATGTGGCAACAGGCACACGACCAGATATTGCGTATACAGTATGTCAGCTGAGTCGTCATTTGGAATTTCCACATGAAGAGCACTGGAATGCAGCGATTCGAGTGTTGCGATATCTGAAGACGACGCAGAGCAAATGAATTTGTTATGAAGGAGTTTCAGGCAATCTTCAGCTGAGCGCGTACACCGATGCAGACTGGGCAAGTAACAAGTGGAATCGCAGATCGATTTCGGGAGTTTTTGTCATGATTAATGGCGCACCTGTGATTTTCAAGTCGAAGATGCAGCAGAGCGTGGCACTGAGCACGGCAGAAGCAGAGTATATGGCTCTTTCTTTATGTGTGCAGGAGGTTCTGTGGACAAGAAGTCTACTCAAGGAGATGCAAGTGCAGATTAACTATGCTGTCAAGATTCACGAAGACAACCAGAGTGCAATCGCTATCGCTAAGAACGACGGCTATCAAAGTCGAGCGAAACATATCGACATCAGATACCATTTTGTGCGCGAACAGGTGAAAGACAAGATTATCGACCTGCAGTATACTGAAACCAAGTCACAGCTGGCAGATTTTCTGACCAAACCGATTTCGACAAAGAAGTTCGAGTCGCTGCTGGACAAGGCCAGGATCAGAGACTTCTAGTCGAGGGGGAGTATTGGTAATGGTGTTGGTTACTGATACTAATGACCATATGTCATGGACGACACTGTGTGATAGTGTGTAACGATGGGATCGACTCATCGTTTTGTTACTAATATTATAGAGTCGATATCGATAGGCTTAGAGTAGTACAACGAGACGAACTAAGGACCTAGCTAGATGATAATTCACTTTCCATTTTACCTTCTTCTAAGCTCTCCCACCTCAACTCGCTCTTGGCAGTTGCCAAAAGTCAAAAGTCACCGATGCAATTTGCCGCCTTGTATGCCAGCACTACGGCCGAAAATAGACATTTGATGCAGTGACATCAGCGATTCTTTACCAGTGCCGCATGCACCTGGTGTAAAAGTGTCGGTCTTGATACACCTATCCGTCGAAACTTATACAGCAATGGATTCGCATGTTGGTCATCCTTTTATGTGCTCGATCATTCCTGTGTTTGTTGAGATTCAACTGCGTACTGTGTCCGGTCTATGTCGATGTGAGATGCATCCATAGCCTCCTGTTGCCAAGAACCGCAAAGGTGTAACGGGGTGAATCGTTACATAACAATTTATTAGAAATTGTTAATAGAATATAACTATAAGAGTTATATTCTCAGAATATTGTCATAAGGACAAATATTCTGTAGCACTTACGAGTAGTTCCTAATTGGTTGATATAGGCCATTATATCAACCAACGAAGACGCGCCACGACAGACGCACGCAATGAGTGGTGAGCAGATAGTTGATTTACACATTTGTATTTAGACATAGTTAGATGAAGATAAATAGTGATTTATTGCAGACATTAACTATTATAAATACAGTTCTACTTTTTACTTTAACCAAGTACTCGCTTCTTCTTACCGTCTTCCTCTGCACGTAAGAGTGTACGTGAAGTTACGAGGCACCGCCTTATTCTTTCATCAGAATAAGTAGCTTGTACTGTCACCAGTACAAGCTTCAGGGTGCCCCGTTACACCTGGTAGCACTTTGTAGTCCGTCCAAGGACCGCGTTCACATCCAACATGAATATGTTGGATGATGAAGATGACCAAAGCTTTCACGCTACGCGTGACGGCTACTCCCATTTGAGCGATGTCGAATGGGATGCGGTTGAACGAATGGGTTCGACCATGGGCATCCATGCTGTTAGCGTCATGCTAGAGGCTCTCAATAGAGATGCCCAAAAGGCTACTATCGCCAAGTTCATTCAAAATGAACTTGACGCAGAACGCGAGAAAGTAGCCTTGCTTCACCAACAAGGTTCTCAACAAGCAGAGTTGTTGAGAGAACAGGGTGCTCAACAGTTTGAACTGTTGAGACAGCAGCAGGCTGCTGATGGTGGGTCGATGCATTCGCGTCGACCCGAAACCTTGAAGATTGACATCTCCAAGTATAGGGGAGTCGAAGAGGACTCCCTCTTGAGATGGTTCGTCGAATTGGATGACGCCATAAGGGCGCGTCGCATCGACGACGGGGATATGCAAGTTGCATTTGCCCAGTCAAATCTGGCAGGACGTGCCAAGACTTGGGCACTGGGGCTCAAGTTGCACGACCCATATGCGTTTGGGTCGTTGGAAGCCTTCAAGTCGCGGCTCAGACAAACGTTTGAACCGCCTAGAGCTGAGTTCAGAGCTCGAACCGAACTCTTGAAGCTCAAGCAGAGTAAGCGTGATGTGCACGCTTACGCGCAACATATACGACATCTTACGAGTTGTATAAGTTCCAATCCGGTGGATGAACACACGTTGGTTTCGGTGTTCATGCAGGGTCTTGCGGATAGTCCCGTCAAGACTCACCTGTTCCGGCTTGAACTAGATTCACTAAGAACAAGCCATTTCCATTGCGGAACAGGAAGACTTCAGTCTGAGACAGGCTCGCGCCAGCTCGACATTATATCGTCAACCGAGACGATATGACAACGGAGGTCCAGAGCCGATGGAACTCTGTTATGTAGAGAGCGAGAAGGCTCGCTCTACAGACTACAAGAAGTTGCAGAGATGCAACAGATGTCAAAAGACAGGACACTACGCTTACGAGTGTAGTGCCCCTCGTCCAGTGTCTCGCGACACTGGGCGTAGTGACCGTCCACCCATGAGAAAAGGGCAGGGACGCGGGTCCGCCGTTGGTGCAAAGACGCAACAACGGGATGGACCGTCAAAAAACGGACAGGATCAGTAGGTGCGGAGCACCCTACTGATCCAGCAACGTCAAGAGAATTTGTAGACCTCTTGATGAAGGTTGCTCCCAACACACAAACGTTGTGCGTTGCTGCTCTAGGTAATGAGATCTCACTCATTACCTTGAAACTCGAAGTGACGAATAAGTTGTCCCTTCGAGCTCTAGTCGATTGTGGGGCGTCCAACAATTTTGTGCGACGCCAATCGCTAGAAGATGGTCACTTCAATTACAGTGAATGTGACACACCTCCTACGAGGATGACGGTACGTCTTGCGACAGGCGCATCCGTAACCGTCATGAAGCGTATAGTGAAGATCCACTATACGCTAGAAGATACCCAATATGACGATGACTTCATCGTATTGGATTTGGATGACAAATTTAGTGTCATCCTTGGAATACCGTGGCTCAGAAGGTACGAACCACGGGTAAACTGGCAACATCGGACAGTAACGATGCCTGCCGCTTGTTCATCAGATGGCCATCTGATGAACGTTTTGGAGCGTCCACAAGCGTGTGGATGTACTACGAGTGAGTGCGATGGCCTCACTTGTGGTACGTTCGTTAGTACGACTGCACAAAACCTTAGTGTACCAAACGGTTACACTTCGGAGCAAAGTTCCGGCGGCTGTGAGGAAACACAGGCTGCGCCGAAGGTCGACCACTCGAATAAGTCGGGTGGACTGGGACAAAGATGTATCCCTAGCGGGGAACATCTAGAAGAGAAACAATCGATCGCTCAGGTTAAGCGGAACGATAATCCTAGATCGACTGGAGAGTATTTCGTAGAGGATCTCGCTGTGGTTGCGCAACCCCAGCTAGAGGAAGTAAAGGGAATAAGTCCCAAGATTACAAATACGGCGGAAATAAGTTCCCCGAAACCCGCGGGAATAAGTCCCCGGGAAGCCGAAGGAATAAGTCCTTCGAAGCCTGAGGGAATAAGTCCCCAGGAAATGACAGAGACATTGAATGTCATAGTCAATAACGGATCAAGTGTAGGCGCTTATACACTTGATCTGATTGCGCCTCCGAAGTTAACTTCGGGGATCACTCAGTTGCCAACGCTCGAACATAAAAGGTTCTTGCGTGATCTGCGTAGTGGCAAAGTCAAGCAGATCTGCGTACTCGTCGCTGACGACGATTGTGTAACCGACAGAAGGTCAGCAACAGTGTTTACTGAGGACGAGAGAGTTCTCAGTAGTTCATCTATGGACGAGAGTGTCCTAGATGAAAAGACACGAATTGAGCGATATGACTCCCAATCGTGGGAATCGCTCAAGACAAATCCTCTCTATGAAGATTTGGTTGAATTCAAGGATGTATTCCCTGAAACTGTTCCGTGCGAATTACCGAAGGATAAAGGTATTCGACACGAGGTCGAGCTTAAACCAGGCTCGAAGTACTGTGTCATGAAGCAGTGGCCACTGCCTCGTGAACAAGTACTAGCGATCGACAAGTTCTTTGCCGATCGTTTAGCTGCGGGCCATGTGAGGGAATCAACTTCCCCACATAGCTCTCCGACCTTCTGTGTGCGAAAAGCAACAGGAGGGTGGCGGATAGTGCACGCGTTCAACAAATTGAACGCTGCAACGGTACCGGATCAGACGCCGATACCGAGGAAGGACGTAATCATTGATGGTATGTCAAAGAGTACCATCTTTTCGTCCATGGATTTGATGGATGGCTTCTATCAAATCCTTATGCGGGAACGAGATATACCCTATACCGCAGTTAGCACGCCTAGCGGCATGCTCTGGGAATGGCTAGTAATGCCACAAGGGCTTAGTAATGCCCCTGCCACGTTTAACAGATGTGTATCACATCTGTTGAGACCAGTACGAGAATTCGCGCCGAGTTATTTCGATGACGTATTCATCCATAGTCGAGCTATGGATGGAAAGTCGGACGTTGAGGTTCACAGGTACCACGTCCGACAGGTTCTTACAATCATGCGAAAGCATCAATTGTATGCAAACCTCAAGAAGTGTATATTTGCAGCAAGCGAAATACCACTTCTTGGGTGCATCGTTGGTACGAACGGTGTACGTCCTGATCCCGAAAAGATCAAGGCGATCACCGACTGGCCTGTGCCGGTTGATGTCAAAGGTCTTCAAAACTTCCTTGGGCTAGCGGCGTATTTGCATAAGTATTCACGCAATTACGCCGAGATGACTGTGACCTCTCTCGTTTGTTGAAAAAGAACGAGAGGTGGTTATGGAACGCTGAATGTCAGCGCTCCTTTGATGGTATCAAGCAGAGCTTGATACAATCCCCAGTCCTAGCAATAGCCGATCAGGACAGGCCATTTCATGTGGTCTGTGATGCCAGCGATTTCGCAATCGGCTGTGCATTAATGCAGTACGATCTTGAAGGCGTTGAACGCATCGTCTGCTATCAGTCGCGTCAGCTGCAACCAGCTGAGCGGAACTATCCAGTGCATGACAAGGAATTCCTTGCCATGAAGTATGCACTCGCGAAGTTCAGAGTCTATCTATTAGGAGATAGACCCTTCATTGTTTACACTGACCATGCGTCATTACGCACGGCAGTGAACAGCCCGCACCTTTCACAACGAATGGCGCGGTGGTTGTCATTCTTTGCGGAATACAACTTTACGGTCGAGTACAAACCAGGACGACTTAATGTCGTCGCTGATGCACTCTCACGCCGTCCCGACTTTGAAACAGTCGCGAAACCCAACAGTGAGACAGCCACTGTTGCGGTTATGACGTCTTCCAAACCATCTTCAACGTTGCATGATGATGTGAGGCGGGCGTATGCCCAAGATGGTGAGATTGTGAAGTTGTTGACACATCTCTCCCAACCATCCCGAGAATCGTTGAAACGATTGTAGTCTGCGTATCGATCTGCATCAGATCGATACACTACTCGCAGCGGTTTACTGTATTATACAGCCGTTTCTGGTGACACACCACGTGTTGTCATTCCAGATGATACTGATCTGCGCTTGCGGATCATGTTCGAGTATCGCGCTGCTCCTATAGGAAGACATCGTGGCCGTGAGAAAACATATCTTACGGTGAGTCGAGACTTTTACTGGCCCCGCCAGTATCAGTTTGTGCGCAAGTACGTTCGCGCATGCGAAGTCTATCAACGAGTGAAGTCAAGTCCTACACTGCGTGCACCTTTACAGCCTCTACCGGTTCCGGCTGAGTGCTGGGAATCCATCTCAATGGAATTTGTCTTCGGGTTACCCAAAGACGCACGCGGGAATACGGGTATTCTCGTATTTGTTGACAGATTCAGCAAAATGGTACACCTAGTGGCTGTACCAGAGTCAATCACGGCAAGTGGCTGTGCTTGTGTCTTTATTGACACCATCTTTCGACTTCATGGGTTGCCCCGTGAACTCGTATCAGACAAAGATCCATGCTTCACTGCTGATTTCTGGCGCTCCGTGTTCAAATCACTCGGAACGCGCTTGAAGATGTCGACATCTGATCATCCAAAGTCAGATGGTCAGACGGAACGTGCCAATCGTGTCCTCGAAGAGATGCTTCGAGGATACGCACACTCCTTTAAGAGTTGGAGTGAGTTTTTGCCAATGGTAGAGTTTGCCATTAACAACTCGGTGCATGCGTCTACGACACATACACCGTTTTACGTGACTGGCTTGCGCCATCCGCGTGTACCCACCTTACTAGAGTGTAACTCTGGTTTAAGGGGGGAGGGACTCGCGCGAGCAAAAACCGATTTGGTTCACGCTCATCACGCTCTGACGAAGAGGTCATTGCGTTTGATGCCGATATCGATAACATCGATATCGAAGAAGATGATGCAAGTGAGAGTGCGGAAGCCCTCACTAAAGAAAATATTGATGTTGCTGCAGTGCGCTCACAGCGCACTGAAGCTAACGAGTCATCAGATGAGTTCATACTGGCTCGTGAAACGGTAGTCCGTTTTGTGCAAGACTCCATCGCCGAAGCGGTGGAAAAGCAAAAGCAAAACGCTGACAAGAATGGAAGGGCAAACACTCTTTTATTCAATAAGGGTGACTTAGTCCTACTGTCTACGGTTAATCTACCAAAGCATGTAGTGACTAACTTGGGTAGCAGTAAACTACTACCCAAGTACATCGGCCCATTTCGTGTATTGCACCGCCTAGGCAATGCATACACGATCGAGTTACCACGTAAGATGCGAACGCATCCCACGTTTTACGTTGGTCGGCTTAAGCCGTACCATCAGTACGCTGCTTCTTCCGATGAAGAACGCCCTTGCGCTCATGCATCTCGCAGAGAGCCTTGTGCTCCCGATGGTGGGCATCAACAAGGGTCTGAAGAGCATCTATCTCATCCCGAGACCGATCAACAATCCCACGAGCTACCCTTAGCTCGTCACGAAGAGATGTCAGAGATCTCTCGTTCTCAAGCTGAGCAAAGGCAAACTCAGCTCGATGCTTCGAGGCAGTGTCCGCCATTTGGAGACGCCTATTCCGCTCATGTTCGAGATCGTCGCATAACCCTTGCGTTACGCGATCAAAGAAGCTCTCGGGAACACACCGATCCACATGATCGTGTGGAGAGCGTCTTTCCTCCTCCTCCACCTCCATTAGAGGACTCTCGCGGTGGCCAGCGCTATCTAGTTGAGCAGCTGTTGAACCACCGCGACGTGAACGGACGTCGGACGAGTTATCTCGTTCGGTGGCGCGGCTATCCCCCGTCCTGGGATTCTTGGGAGCCCCGCTCCCAACTGATAATCGACGTACTGGGTCTGGTTGAGCAGTACGACGCGGCACATCCTGTGCCGCAGAAGGACCGCCGGATAAAGTCTTCCCGGCACGGTCGTAAAGGGATTTCAAGTTGTCAATCCCTTCGTACATCTCAGTAGAGATACGTACGCGCCACCACGGGCTGGTAAGGAGGTAAGCCTCCTTAGGTGCTCGTGCAGAGTTGTTCACACAACATGGGCACGAGTCTCCCCATGAGAGGCAGGGTAATCCTTTCTCCCTTGACAGACGATGCAGCTTGTAGCGTGCACCTGTCGGGGTTCGCTTTTCAAACTTATCACGAGCTTTGATAAGTTTGTCGTTCCAGGCGTCACGACCTACATCCTCAAGGTTATGGATGTAGGCGTTCCACGCCTGAAGCAGTGAGGGACCATCACGTTTGTGATTCCCACTGTACCATCGATGTCTAAAGAAAGCATCGATGAAGAATTCATGTTCAGCGCGATAGTTTTTCGCACTGGGGTCAAGGTGATGGATCCTTGACGAATCGAACAACCGTGTTCGATAACGATCACTCGTCGTCGCCGACAAGTGATCCATGACGGATTTCGGAGGCATCCATGCCTTCTTTTCTGGAGCGAGACGCAACACATTGCGGTCCCGCTCTTCCTGCGACGTGCCGACAGAAGTACTGGCACCTCGCTGTGAAGTGGTGTCCATAGGAGAACCGACACCACTGTTAGCGCCCGAGTCTCGCGACCTCGAGCGCCTTCGCTTCGGCGATGGTTCATCTGATTCATCAGATGAACCAAAGATGCTGCGACGCAAAGCATCGTCCATGCCACGCTTGGCAGGCGGCTTGGATTCAATCGCCGTCGATACGGATCCGTCTTCCGTATTAGGAGAGTACGAGACACCGAGCTCGTACTCTGTGAAGACATGAGTGTCTTCATGACCAGCGCCTGCATCACCAAGTGACACAGGCTGAGTCGCTTAACCGATGAGACATCAGTTGCTGTGGTTTCTGCTTCGGCGTCCGCACAGAGACGTGCGGACGCGCTCTCGGCGGCCTTGCTCGCGCATCGCATGGGCTTGTTAACCATGCGATGAAATGTTGGAAAGTGGACTCGGACCAACAAGTGCAAACCCTGTCCCAAATGATTTGGGACGAGTATCCATTTAGTCAATCAGTCTGTAAAGTGACTGATGGTTAAGGAAGGGTGATGTAACGGGGTGAATCGTTACATAACAATTTATTAGAAATTGTTAATAGAATATAACTATAAGAGTTATATTCTCAGAATATTGTCATAAGGACAAATATTCTGTAGCACTTACGAGTAGTTCCTAATTGGTTGATATAGGCCATTAAATCAACCAACGAAGACGCGCCACGACAGACGCACGCAATGAGTGGTGAGCAGATAGTTGATTTACACATTTGTATTTAGACATAGTTAGATGAAGATAAATAGTGATTTATTGCAGACATTAACTATTATAAATACAGTTCTACTTTTTACTTTAACCAAGTACTCGCTTCTTCTTACCGTCTTCCTCTGCACGTACGAGTGTACGTGAAGTTACGAGGCACCGCCTTATTCTGTCATCAGAATAAGTAGCTTGTACTGTCACCAGTACAAGCTTCAGGGTGCCCCGTTACAAAAGGAGACTTAGTCTTTGGTCGTAAAGATGTGTTAGCATGAAGCAGTGTGTTGCGATGTTACAGTCGCTGACATCCTTGGGAGTAAATATCGATGAGAGATAACGAGAGAGATTTAAATTGTTTTGGAGTGCTGATTATTATACTACGTTGACTGCTTTCAAAAGACCTGGTTTGATTTTCTGTCAGGAATACTTCGTTTTACTTCTCCTGCCGTCTTATCCTGCAGGTCTGAGTGCGCAGCTTGCAACCGGCATAAAACCTGTTCATACACATTTATCCGATACTGATGCTACATGACGATTCTGTGCATGCAGTGCTCAGAACCTCGCTTTTACGTTAGACTTTACGAAAAGGATCACATGTTCAACACATGCGTTGGATAGCTTCATCGGATAAAAAGAGGTGGTGACAAGAGGGATGACGCGTATAAATAACTGTGTCGTATCTCCAGAAAAGGACAGAACCGACCACGTCTTTCAGCATGGATCGCGAAGATACCAAAAAACGCATTGAGCGGCCAGAATATGCAGCACTTCGATCGATCCTTAAGTGAACCGTACGTAACAGATATTTAGCTTCGGTATTCCACGTAGTCATGCCGTGCAGAATGACTCCAGAAGCGAGCGACCAGGTAGACGGAGTTTGAATTGGTGGGATGACACATCTTGCAAAATCTATTGGAAAATCCTCGAAGCGAACAATTCCAACTAAACTATCAGTTCCCGCGGGATAGAAAGACATCTTGTGGTTGTTTGGTTGCTTGGTCAGCTTTTGGTCGACGTCACAAGGTCGCAATGAATTTGTCTTCTCGAGAGGTGCAGGTGCTAGTTTCCCAGCCAAATGAGCACTCTACCTGCTTACTTGTACGTATCGCGCTTAAAAAGCTTGACTCGAATAAGCGCTTGTGAAATGCGACTGTATTTTGCAGCTGTTCGAAGTGTCGTCTAAATGAAATTCAGCTCGGAGTCGTCATGGGCCTCCGAATTGCAGGCAGACGCTACAAGATGAAGTCCTTATGGAGCAGACAAACAAATCGTGCACCATCGGCCATCTTACGTTTGTAAGTTTATAGGTGAGATTTCGTTTACAAGGTGTGGACGTACTTCGCAAAACGTGCTCCATTGTAGATGTGTGCAAGGCTCGGTTTTGATAAACGTAAGGCAAATTTGTGTCAAGAAGCTGACGCTCAAGCCTAGAGGATCTCCACCGTAACGTCATGCGTGACGACTTCTTACACCGACTTTGAGTTACTGCACTACACGACTGTGGCATACCCGATCGATTCAGAGAACTACTACCTTACAACTAGAGCTGCATTCATCATCACCTGTGTCGAATCGGACCCAAACGCTCGTACAGCCACACGGCCGTTGCCATTTTGCTGTATCAACAACATCTGATCTCAAGTGCTGGTTCCATGTCTGCTGCTCGACATCCAATCATTGTCAGAAAAAGACGAAACCCGACAGCGCTTTACTCGCTGTTTCGCCGATTCAACCTGTCTATGCCACAACAATGTAAAATCCACTCTTACCCATTTCATCATCCTCTACCGGGTACTTCACCACAACATCAGTTACAACTCCGCATTTACCGTCTCCGGGGATTATCATTTCGCCTACCAGTCAGTCAGTCAGTCCATCCATTAATTGATCGTGTAAATTATGGGAATCAAAGGCCTCATGAAACTGCTGCAAGAGGAAGCCCCGTCCTGCATCAAAGAGGTGGAAAAGATGTCGGCCCTAGCAGGTCACACCGTGGCCATTGATGCCAGTATGGCCTTGTACCAGTTCCTCATTGCCATTCGATCTGCAGATGGCAGTGGAGGGGCTGCCCAAGCCTTGACAAATGCGGATGGAGAAGTGACGTCTCACTTGCAAGGGATGTTCAGTCGGACGGTCCGGATGATGGAGAACGGACTCAAGCCCTTGTACGTCTTTGACGGAAAGCCGCCCGTGATGAAAAGCGGCGAGTTGGCGAAACGAAGTGACCGGCGAGTCGAGGCGCAAAAAGCGCTGGAAGAAGCGACGGAAAAGGGAATGACGGAAGATATTGACCGCTTCAACAAGCGGTTGGTGCGGGCTACACCCCAACATAATGAAGACTGCAAGGAGCTGCTTCGACTCATGGGGGTGCCGCACCTTACAGCTCCATGTGAAGCTGAAGCTTCTTGTGCGGCGTTGGCCAAGGGCGGACGAGTATATGCAGCTGGAACGGAAGACATGGATGCCTTGACATTTGGGGTCCCTGTGCTGTACCGTCGTCTGACGGTATCACCGGCCAAGAAGGTGCCGATCTTGGAGATTCGGCTCGAACGAGCGCTGCAGGAGATGGGACTGAGTCACGACCAGTTTGTCGACTTGTGCATCTTGTGTGGGTGTGACTATTGTGACTCGATTCGAGGCGTTGGGCCTAAGAAAGCATATGCGGGGATCAAGGAGCACAAGAGCATTGAGAACTTTGTCGAGGCACTGCAGAAAAGCAAGAGTAAAGGGGTCGTCATCCCCGAGGAGTGGCTGGGAGGCAACCCGATCTACAAGAATGCCCGCGAGATGTTTCTCCAGCCAGAGGTCGTGAATGCCGAAGAAGCAGAGATCAAGTGGCGTGATCCACAAGAGACAGAGCTGCTCGACTTCTTGGTCAAGAAACACGGGTTTCAGGAAGACCGCGTGCTGGCTGCCATCACGCGACTGAAAAGGTCCAAGAGCACGCAGTCTCAGAAACGTCTTGATAGTTTCTTCACGGTGCTGCCGAGTGCTGGGAAAACCGCGAAGAAGCGTACAGCTTCTGTCGCGGCGAAAAAAGGCAAAAAAGCTCCTGCCAAGCGAGGCAAGCAATAAAAAGCGACTTGCACGGGTCCCCATCAAATGCAGCAATACACTTCTTCCTCGGGTCATGATTACTCTGTCAGGAGGTATTGTTTCTTCTTGTATTTGAGCAAACCTGAGACTGCAGCGATGCAGGCAGCCCCGCTAGTTACACGATGTGCGAACAAGTTAAATAGGTGACAACACCAGTCAGTCAAAATGCAGCAGAGATGACATCGCAGTTCTTCCAGAAAAACACGACCCGTTCGGACTAGGCATTCCAGCGCTTCGATTGTTCCGCAAGCCACACAAGACCATGGCAGAGCATGGTCAATACGAAAGCCACGTCCGAGCGCGAAGAGCCTTCCGCCTCCTCGTGAAAGAAACGAAGGAGGCACGCGGCATAATGCGAGAACGCAGGGATCTGGTACACGACAGCCAGCTGCCTATTGAAAGTGCGAACTCGTTCGACTCGCTCCATTTCGCTCCGCACCAACCCATGTTGCTCCTCACGCAAACTCTGGATCCGAGAGGCAGTTACATGCTCAGCTTCCTTGTAAACGGCAGCCACGAACATGTCACCGTCAACACACGCGCTCTCCGCGTCCTTAATTGAAGACAACACGCCGCGGAACTCGTCAAGAGCCAGCAAAGTTGGCTCCATTCGGCGCAAATGCGCCATGATCACAGGAAAAACAAAAGACGAGCCCTCCATGAAGATGCAGTCGAATATCCGGAACACCGTCTCACTGGGAAAAGTTGTCGTGAACAAGCACAGCAGCCACTGAGAGCCTAGGAGTTCCAACGGAAGCCCCACTTCTGATGAAAATTCGTCGAGCTGTGGAAGCTCTTCAGCAATTAACTGCTTCAGCACCAACATATCCCTCCGGATGCCGTCCATTGTGGGACAGTAGTATCCTGGGTAGAGATCCTCACAGAGCACGCTCAAAAGCCAAAAGACAATTTCCTCATCCGCGATAAGCAGCAAAAACGCCACGATATAGTTCAATCCTTGGCAATAACCAACGGACGGATTGCGAAGAGAATAGGCTCTCAGAATGCGACGTAGCTGTCCACGTCCCGATTCACAGCTTATGATCGTTCCAGAGTGTCCAAACGTGCGACCGATATCAAGCTCGATTTGACTAAACGTCTCCGTTTCGAGTGTCGCTGCTTGTTTTACAAGATCCACGTAGTAAGTTGGACCCGCAGTTTCTTGCTTCCTACTCGCTCCCGAGAGATGCATGTACGCACGTTCTCGCAAATGTCGTGGTATACCGTTCCGAGCTAGCTGCAGCAGTAAAGCTTTTTCCTCAGTGTCTTTCTCCCTGTATGAACAACGCTGAAGGCATTCAATAGATTGTGTGCCGTATAACCTCGTCCAATCTTCAACGCGTCGCTCTTCTCGGCAATCCCGGTACGAGCGCAAGTGCACCCAATCGTCCCTCGCAGCGTCCGGTATAGTAAACCCGTAAAAGTCTTTCATAGGTTTCGCTGCACAGCGTTGTACATGTTCCTCATACAACACGGCGCGGTCCTGGGCCGTGAGCGCCCGTTTTGCTCCAACATACCAAATCGTGCGGATCCGCACTTCGCCTGTCCTCGTGCCAGATAAACTATACCACGAGTCCGTCACCACTCTCGACGGCTTGCAGAGCAAACTCGAGTTAATCTCGATCGTGCCCAGCACCTCATCGTTAAAATTCAATGCAGCAACGGCCGCGTCTTCCTCAGCCGTCGGCCATGCATCATCTTCCTCAAAAACCTCGTCCTCGTCCACCTCATCGTCCTCCTCCTCAGACAGCGTAGCGACATCGTCACTGTCACTGTCCTGGATCCCTTTCGATCCCTTCACACAGTCCTGCGGCTCACTGGTAACGGGAGACTTCCTCCAGTCCGGGTCGACATACGCCAACCGATCACACGCATTTCCGACCGGCGCCTCCTTCTCGTCTGTAAATTTTCGACCATCAGCCGACGGCGGGAACATGTCAAAGAAGAAACTCCTCTTGCTGCAAAGCTCCACCCTCAGCCTCACACTTGCAGGATGAGCAGGCAGCACAAATTCCGTCACATGGGCCCACGTGGGATGGCTGGAGCCAGTCACGGTCGACGATCGCACACCCGATGAAGCAGCAAGACAGTAATTGCTGCGGCGTTTCATCGACTTGACATCACAAAGGCCGACGACACAGTACGAGTCAATAGACTGCGAGCTCTCGAGGTTCCGAGCACTCACGACCTCGACGCTCAGTCGTTTCCTGTTCATGGACAGTAAAAGTACACACACACACACACACACAGAGAACAAGACAAAGACAAGACAGTGAGTATGAGATCCAACTGCAAGCACAAAGAAAGACGACGTACCTGTGACGCCGCATCAAGGGATGATGAACAAGAAATGAGAATGAGATATTGATGCAAAGCGAGAATCGACTGGTTCAATACTGTAGCGCGACTTCAAGGTGCGAAGAGTTCCGTCTGTTCAGTCGGGTTTAAATCGAATAATGACAGTTGGAGTGGCAGAGCCAGTCGCACGTAGCGTGGAGGGGTACAGTGGTACCACCACCAAATGGGACGTGTAACGAACTGGTACTTAGCTCATACCTGAAAATCCCAGCAGTCACCAATGAAGATCGACTCATTTCGGGTCTTCCAGTTCGTGGCGGATGTGTTTGTAGGGAATTTCTTCGTGTCTTTTCAAAATGAGCTGCGCTTTATGGTAAGTAGATTGAATTGATACTGAGCCGGTAGTGACTGCTGGATATAGAAGGACTTGGACTGGAACTGGAACGGGTAAAATGGTGTGACGAATGGGTACGGTACTCACGGTCGTGTGCTGGCACTTTCGGGTTCTTCAGGCAGAAGCGGCTGGATCGTCAGGCGCTCGTGCAATGAAGGTGCAACGCGTGCCAATGGCACGACCTATCCAGCACACGGCTGGCACGATAGCACGCTTGTGAAAACGTGTCGACTGCTGCACGAGCGTTGCAGTCATGAGAAAGCAGCAGCTGTTCCGTCACGGGCTACGACTTTGGTAATCAATCGTTTGGCAAGACACTTGCACTCTCTTGGAGGTCTCAATTGCTGCCCCCTGCAGTCCATCGCATCAAAGCTGCGATCGTGGTCTCTTGGTCTTGAGCTGCTGCGATGCGACGCTGTAAAACTGCCAGCTTCTTCTCGTACTTGGCTGCTGCAGCCGCTTGTGCCTTCGGTAGCCCTTTGTTTGCATAGAGCTCAAAGACGTCCACCAAAAGTCGCGTCTGTAGCAGCACATTCTTGGTGTGCAGCGTGACGCGGATGGCGTTCTCCAGCATACTTTCAGCTTGCTCGACTTCACCGCCAGCCGCTAGCTGCGGTCCGAACAACGCCATGATCTCGGAAGTCGTCTCGCAACATGTCACGTTTGCCTTCACATGCTGGAGCGACTGGTGGAGGAGAGTGAACGTCGTTGGACGTAGTGCCTCAAGCTTTGTGTGCTCAGTACAGCACGCAGTGCGGCTAGAGCTACCTCCTTTCGCTTCGAGGTTATTTGACGAGCTTTCCGTAGCCCACATCCATTTTGCGAGCGCAAGGTCGTACTAAATGCGACGGACAAGTGCACGCAACATCGTTAGCGTGACTAAGTAAGAGCATAAGCTTGCGTTCGTGTACCTTGGCGTGCAGCTCAACATTGCAGCACTGACGAATCTGGTTTTGCAAGCCATCTTGTGTCAGAACACGAGCGGCCCATTGGAGCAATACTCGGCTGGGATAGATCTGCTCTATCTGTGCACCCTTGAGCACACTGCTGCTTGATGGCAAGCGCTTCGAAGTACCCGCTTCACAACAGTATGTTGCAACTTCAAGCACATCCACCCACACAGCCAGACATGCATCAGGGTACGATGTCTCGGCAACCGTGGGGGCAGGAAGCACTTTATCCACAATAAAGTTTAAGTGGGCGCAAGCATCTTTCACTTTCCCAATGGCGGTGGCAAACTGCAAATTGGGAGCAACAGCATGGTCAAACAAGGTCAAATCGACAACCACCAACGGTCATACCTCGATGTACTTGTCTGCATAATGGTCGTACCTTGGCTATCAACGTGTGACAACGCGCAAGGAAAACACGGTAAAGCATGGTCCGCTCTAGGTCGACCTTGTACGTCGCAAATAATGCAGTCATCTGCACGATACTTGCACCCATGTCTGCATATCGACACTGCAAGCCCAGCAAGCGGCAGTAGACGTGGAGCATGTCGAACAGGGTTGCGATGAGCACAAGTCGCACTGCTGGCTGGCACTGTGTCTGTAAATTTGCTTGAACCAAGAGGACGTTCTTCATGGCGAGATCGCACGCTTCCTTAGGGTCAGAACATGCGACAACGCTCACCCGCATCGAGTCCAGAATGGTGATCAAGAACGATTCCTTCGTACTTCCAGCTCGCTTTTGACTAACGTTGATTCCAATGTCATTTGCCAGCATGTTGGCTCGTTCCAGTAACGGTGCTATTTTCGTAATTGTTCCCGTCCTGTACAACACCAGTGAGAAAACTAGGCTAAATGAAGCACAAATTATCTCACAAGTCTGTCCTTACCGTAAGTAGTAAAACCCAGTCATGATCAGGTGGTGCATGTGAAAGTCTGCAGATGCCGGTTCCTGTACAGACACTCGATCCAAAAACTCCTGACCAAATTCAACTAATTGGCGCGTCTCTGCGATGTTACCGGGGTAAAACGATGAGACAGCTGTGTGGCATGTCGCTTCAACCAACCATAACTACATCAGGTACCGCAAGTCAGCAGGGATACGTCCGATGCAAGACCGTTTTCAATAGTGCAAGAAAATCCCACGCACCAGGAAGCGTTTGTTGATAAAAGCTGGCAGTGTGGTTCGTAAGTACCTCAGATTGTCCACAAAGCTATCGATGCCGTCGCGGTTCGTGCCGCACTTCTTCGTGACAGTTGCGGCATGCATCCTTACCAGACAAGCCTTCATCTTGACCTCAAAGTACTTACTAAATCCTGCCGCAACAGGATTATCATGTTTTGCAGCAACCTGCAACCCTTCCGCTAAAATCTCCAGCAATTTCCGATTCTTTGCTGACCGCTCGACCTTCAACTGCTGCTGAAGCAGAAACTTGGCCTTCAATAACCGCAGCTGGGTCTCATGCTACAAGTCACACCAGCACCATGCGTTTCCGCACATTAGCACTATAAGAAAACAGAAAGCTCAATCTCCGTATAAAGTTTACACTGCAAAGAACGCCTCGAGCAACTGCAGTGTCAACGGCATGGATACATTTCTCAATCCGGGCAACACGACGTGTCCATAACTCTCGATCCTCCGCCTTCCTGCTGTTACTGCACGCGACGCTGCAAAGCTCTGCATAAACAGCATTAGCTTGTACTAAAATCACTTGCTCTTCGGCGCTTCTATTGCTGGAATCAAGTGCACAAAGAGGCTGCAGGTATAACAACAGAAGATAATCATTAGTCGCTTGATTCTAGCTCGAATTCCGATCATTCCAGCGCATTTGTGAGCTAAGAAAGCACCTCAAGACACTGCGCAGTCTGCGGTACTAGACCCCGTTGCGCTAAAAGACACGCAAGCGTCCAGAGCTGCTGCACGTCATCTGTACGCAGCTCGCTGCTTGATCCCGTTGCCATTGTCATGGTCTTGCAGTGAGTTCGGTCGGTAGTCACTGGAAATGCAAAAGTAGCGGGGTGTCACTAAAGCGAAAACTCTTTCGATGCGACCGTTAGTGACATCTGCCGGCCGGTTTGATTCTTTCCGTTTTAGTTACTTCAGACAATGAGGTTCAGTACTAACGGGAGCAATAGCAGCAGCAGCAGCTTCCGAGCCAATGAGGAGGGAGAAGAAGAAGGTGTTCGAGCAGCGTTTCTTGTCGACAGCGTCGTGTACGCACTGGTTGGCGGCATAGCAGGCGTTCAGCTGCTGCGTAACTGCTGTCGGTATCGCCCTTGGACTGTGCAGAAGATGATTCATCTGCTCCTGTTCTTGGCCGCACTTGGTACGATTTCTCTAAATGGATACACGTTTAGAAATACGATTGCTAATGGATACCTTCGAATGCCTACGGATGTGGTTTATTGCGTGCAGATCGATCGGTGTTCCTGCTATTGGTGACTTTCGATTGGTGCGACGTTCTGTCGGGCGAAGTCCGAGCATCTGAGTGCTCTCCAGTCAAGCGAGACCTGTTCTACGTCATGGATCAAGTGCCGATTCTGGCTTTCTTTGCCATCTATGCTCTATTGGTACAGTTCTGGGCAGAGGTGTACTACAATGCAGTGGATAAGCTGTCGACGTTGACAGACGTTGTGAAACCTGCTATTCGATGGTTCATTGTGGTACGTTTGAGCCCATTGTGCTGACGTGATGCGGACGGTGTTGATTCGGTTGGTGTTTGTTGTACTTGGCTGATGTGCTAATTTTTGTCATTTACAGATTGTACTGCTCGTTCAAGGGTTGTTTTGGGCGTTCTACGCGTCAGTGTGGCGAAATGAGCGTACGTTGGATTCTGTTGCGTGTGAAGTCCGTGTTATTGATGGAAAGGTTTCGTCGTGTATTCGCTTTGTAGGTGCGTTCTTCACAAAAACACAAGCAATATTGAACATGGAGCTTTTCCTGATTATCGCCACTAGTTTTATCTACTTTGGGAGGAAAGCGTACACCGAACTACGGTAAGTACAGCGGATTATCGGTACAACGGCTGTGCGTCATTGGATATTCACTCATATTGTGTCTTACTTTATGGGACAGATCGGTGCCGGTGGAACTGAGAATTCGATCACGGAAGCTGAGAGAGCTGGTGAATATAACGTCGATCGGTACATCCTGTTTCATGACTCGTTGCGCGCTGCAGATTATTTTGTCGACCGAGAAACGTCAGCTCCACGACCGTAGTACGTGGTTTGTAGTGGTGGTATACTATGCTTTATTGGAAATTGTACCAGCGCTGTCGGTGCTGTACTTCAATCGTCGGTTGCCCACTCGTCGAGAGTCTAGCAGCCTGTCCGCAACGTCGAGACCTATTCGAGGGTGCGGTATCTTCTTTGGCACGGACAGGGCTGATCATGATGGAGACAACTCGTTGGAAAAGAGTTTACTTCGTGGATGAGGGCCATGAATGCGTGCATGAAATCGTTTCGTATGCATGTTATTTGCATGCTGCTGCCAGTCGCGCCATCGGTTCCGAGTGCATTTCTTGTACCCGATTTAGCTGTCAATTTTGTTAATATATTTGCGCATGGAGCAGAAAAGCTTACCAGACGAGTATATCCGGGACAGAACCTGATAATCAGCACACCGAAAGGCGAGGTAGATGGCCTGCACTATTCAAATGCTGCACATGTCGTTAACTTTGTGTTTCGCGTTCTCACGGAAGCGTAAACGTGGAGCCGATTACTGTTCGCCCGACACTTCCACGAGCAACTCGAGCATGCGATCGTTTTCGCTACGAGACCCGATCGTAGCACGAACGCAGTCAGCAAGCAAATGTTGGTTGCCGCGATAACGAATGACTACTCCACGACTGGCCATCTCGCGGTAGACAGCAAGTGCTTGCGGAATCTGCATCACAAAGTAACGGTCCGCATGACGTTATCGCATACTTCATGCTTTACACAGATCTGATAAGTGCTTACCTCGAAAAGCACGAAGTTGGAGTCTGAGGCGTAGATGCGGCGCACAAAAGAGAGCTTCTGTAGCTCCGCAGTTACACGGTGTTTTTCCTGTAATTGCCGTGGACGCACATTAGAACTCTCTCTCGACTGTAGCAATACGAGAATAGCAAAACTACTGCATACCTCCTTAATAAGGGCTACACTCTTGTGCAGCTCCTCTAAGTTCGAGAAGGCCTTGCGCGCTACATCCGACGTCAGCTTGCTAATGTTGTAGGGAGCCTTGACATTGTTGAGCACTTGAATTAGCTTCGGGTCACCAAAAGCAATGCCCAAACGAATGCCTGCCAGTCCAAAGCCCTTTGACAGCGTCTGCAGCACAATGAGCCGCTTATGCTTGTTCACCAACGTGCATAAGCTCGAGGTGTCAGCAAAGTCAATGTAGGCCTCATCGGCTACCACGAAGCCCTTGTACTTCTGGTAAATAAACGAACAGATAATGTTATAGCGTCATTCCCGATTCAATCACCAACAGAAGCACCGACCTCAGACTCCAAAATCGTCTCAATATCCCTGCAGCGCAGCACGTTTGCCGTCGGATTACCGGGACTGCACAGGAAAATGACCTTCGTCGATGCAGTGACGGCGTTTAAAATCTGGATCGCACACGCAGAGAATCATGAGGATCAGACGTGACTAGTCCGACATTATCCCCACTTTTTTGTCTCCCGCAGCTTACCGCTTGAGGGTCAATATGAAAGGATGGTAGAGGGAGGCCTGGCTTCAGTCCGGTCAGATTCTCTGCCGGTGCCTCGATTTGCAGCGGCACAGAGACAATAGCTACGTCGTGAATGTTAGCACAAACGCTGTACATGCCGTAAGTCGGCGGCGTGATCAAAATGTTATCGACACGAGGGGTACAAGCGACTCGAATGATCAAGTCAATGGCTTCGTCACTACCCACGCCCAAAAATGTATTTGCCTCGCTGATCTGCTCGGTCGCATTTCGATTCCTGCCCGAACACGACGACACTCAACGCTCAACACAAAGCTCACACCATTACCAAAAGGGTACACATGATATAGCGCACCTGTAGTCGGTAATAGCCTTCTTCAGCTCCAGCTGATACGGACACGGATAGCGCTCTAAGTGCATTTTTCGTAGCTGCTCATAACCCGATAGCGGTGGACCCAGACTGTTTTCATTGGCATCCAGCAGAATTCCTGCACAAAAAGCACAATAGCAGAACCATAAACATCGTAATACATAAAATCAGTACTTCTAGATATGGTGACACTCTATCAGTACTACTTCGTGAGGTACCTTGGTCGTAGTCATCGCGCGCGCAGCGATACGGCGTGAGAGCAAGAATGTTGGGGCGAATGAGGCGCTCCACCTCGTCCAGGTCCTTAGCACATTTCTCCAATTGTGTGTCATCTGTTTCGACTCGAAGAGCATTAGGGTGGGCTTTGCCCAGGAGGTACCCGACGCCTAGACCGGCGGTCACGCCTATTGCAATAGCGCTGTGTTTGTCCATTGGGTGGAGGAGGGACCTGATGGAATAGTGACGTTGCGAAAAGCGTGTTTGCACAAACAAAAGAGGGAGTTGGCGAGTGCAGATATTTGTCAAATCAGCTGCTTCGTAAGTGGAATATTCATGTGGTCAGGCGTGAAGCGGCATGATTTCGCGACGGACCAGCTGAGAGTTGCGAACTTTTGCACTTCATTTCTGCAGGACTGGCACCAAGTGGTTTTTTACAATCTGGTTTTACTGGGTTTTGTTTCGTTAAACCCCGACAGCCTGTGATCGTGCAAAATCAGGTTTAATCAGTTTTTACTTTCCGATAATGGTGTGACGCACGCACGAAGGGTTCGGCCGCCGATCCCTGCAACTGCAAGGAAGCCAACAGATGTAATCTTTTGTCAAAAAATTAGCAAGATTAGCACTCTCTAGCAGTACTTACTACTAGGTCGTTATCGTCGTTCTCTTTAGGCCACCGCTTTTTGACGAGCGTGTCGATAACCTATACGACGACGTTCTCGACCTTCAGCAGCGAGACGCACAGGTCGCCACGTTGGACTTTAGAATGGTAGTTGATGACGATATCGAAATGAAAGTACGGACGCCAAAACGGAAACGCGGTCACTCTGCTAACGAAGTCTGGAACTGGTTTATTGACGATACGTCTTCACTAAATGCCAAGAGTGCCGAATTCACGTATTAAGAGACTGTGAGAAGTCATCATAAGATGAGCGAAAGCGCCAAGGTACACATCAACTATCGTGGTCTATCGGAGTGGGACTGCTTAGTATCAATCTTTTATAGATAGAGAACGTCCTGTTTAAGTATCCTGTAGATGACGAGGCCCGCGATCTATTCGATGAAACAGGAGCGCAGGCCATTAGCATTTTAGTGTACCGAGTCGTGATTATGGCGACATTCACTGAAAGCTGAGGAACTGCCTTAATCTAAACCGAGTCGACGATCCGACGTTCATTGAGAGCAATTTGCTAAAATTCTACGACTACATGCACGACGGTGACGATGATTGCGGTAGTGATTCTTCCCAGTAGGCGCCCGCTCATCGAGCCAAATAAAACAACGTTTTTATGCCCAAAATTCGAGGGTAATCATGTATTCAACCAAAAACGCGATTGCCCGCCAAAACTAATCGGGTTTTTCCAGCCCTGCATTTATGGTGATACTGTACTGTATGCAAAATGCTGAAATAGAGAGGTTTTAGTGTGAACTCTGGCTTTGCATTTAGCGTACAGAGAGTGTCTTGAAGTCAGCGAAACCGGGACTCGGTGCTTATATTAGATGCCGCATTATATTTCTATAGCCACTACAGCTCGGCCACACTCTCCGCAGTCTCTCATTTAGATTTCCTGTCATTTAGCAAGCTAGTCGCTGGTGGTTTGGTTCTCCTCGTGCTACACCGATGCATCGTTAGCATCGCTGAAATGCACGCAATCGCACTCAGCTTTGTACAATATTACTTCAACAGCTATAGCGATGGGACTGAACGTGTGACTTATCCATGTAAGTCGCAAACTGTGTGCGCCATAACCAGTGTTTCTAGACCATGATACAATAAGCAGAATCCATCCGACTATTTTGCTCCTCTATCGGTTTAACATGATCATTGCTGCTTTAGTCTCACGCAACTACGTAAATGGTAGGCATCAGCAGCACGCGTGGCTCACAATGGGCACAAAAAAGGTAGCGACGGTACTACCTATATCAATAATTGACGCAAGAATGCGGTGCTTAAAACTGTTGTTTCGAGTTGGGAGACGACGGTAGTCAATAAATGAGTATGTGGGGAGTCAGTGTCGAATTGCAATATTTTTCACATCTGCATCCATTTTTGCTTCTTGCACGCTTTCACCAATAAATTGATCGCCACAGCATCCACTTTGTCGCTCAGCTACTCATCCCTTTTATTGTCATAATTACCCAATCACGAGTCTCCCACACGATTTGCTCACCAGAATAATAGCCACTGAGCTGTCACTGCAAGGAGCTCGCCATCGATCGAGTCATGTCCTTCGGCTTCAGACTCGAGACAGTGGCGTTGGCGTTACAGACCACGACGCTCCTATGGCTCTGGTGGCGACAGCAGCAACCGCTGCAACCTCCTCGAGCGACAGACCAGCGGAAGAAAATTCAGGTACGTGCATTGCTGCAATAGCGAACGGCAGAGGAGCGTTGACGTCTGATTTGTTGCCTTTGTTTTCTATGGTAGCAACTGGAGAGTGAGGTGATCAAGAAAGAGAGAGCTCGAGTCGATGAACGACGAGGTCGCGTGGCTGCTGAGAAGGTTGTGGAGGGAGAGATGCGATGCCGTTTTTTTCACTTGCGTCAGCTCTCTGGAGACACTGACTGGCTGGTCTGACTGCTTGCTAGGAGCTGCGACGTGTGATGGAGGAGAAACTGGACACTAGCAAGGGGTGTTTCGTACAGCCTGTGGGGACGGTGCACTCTTGCTTCAAAGTATGCTTGGGTACTGTCCTCGTGTTCGTTCACTGCAGTGACTTTGGACAGTGGCTCGTGGCTAACGACTGCTGGGATGCTGCTGAGTGTAGGAACGCCTCGTCAAGGCTCTCTTGCACCGTCGACGCGGGCGAAGATCACTTTTCATCGAAGCGTGTCACCCGACACTCTGGTAGGCTTAGAGGAATTCAGCCATGTCTGGATCTTGTTCGTCTTCCATCAAAATACAAACGGGAAAAACGCTCGAGCACACGAGGGACTTCGGTCAGATAGTCATCGCCACACATTCCGGGTGCGTGTCAGTGAAGACATGTGTTATTATCGAAATAGTGGCGGTCTAATTTGCAGCTTTGACAGGCCAAAATATCTCCACCAATGCTGAAAGAACGAGTCGGCATCTTTTGTACTCGCTCACCCCATCGCCCCAATCCTATCGGTATCACTTTGGCGCAGATCGAGTACGTCGACATCCGGAAGCGGACGGTGCATCTCACTGGTGTCGACTTGCTGGATGAGACTCCAGTATTGGACATCAAGCCGTATATTTCAGGTAAGGTCCGAGTGTAAGTGTTTGGCTGGAGAATGTTCGTGCAACGAATAACCGTCTTCTAGCGTATGACAGCCTTCCTGATGCACGAGCAGCAGGCTGGGTGTCCACTCCACAGCCATCAATCAAGTACGTCTGCAAAACATGAGCTAACGGTGTCTCATTGTGAGATCTTAACAAACTCATGGGTGGACTCTGTTGCACGATGTCTAGAACTGAGTGGGACTCCAGCGCGCTGAAGTCGACAATCTACAAGCTCTCGGAAAAGTCTGTGCACTATCGCAATGCCCCTGAAGAATTCGTGGCTGCCATCGAAGAGGTGCTGCAAGTTGACGTTCGTAGCAAGTTCCAAACCCGTCGCTGGACTTCTCCTGACTACATCAACTACCAAGTCATCGATAACGTCCGCGTGCAGTACCGCTTCGCTCTATCGACTGCTCTCTCTCCTTCCCCTGCAAATGACGACAGGCGTGCGGAGACCGCGCACATTCAGATTTTTGCGGCTGAAGAGGCTTTTTCGGCAAAGTAGAGGAGACCTTATTGCGAGACTTCCACCACCAGCTTGAAGCTGGCCATCTTTTCATACCGCATATCGTCGTCATTCATCAGCTTCGCCGCGGTATTCTTTATCACAGGCTACCGCCTCCAATGGGTCAAATAGAGTCCGCGAGATTTGCCAAAACTTGTCAAGGTCCGACCGATCCCGTCATGGCTGCGACTTCCTCGACTCCTCCTCTCGAGGCTGTGACCCTGCCGCAGTCCAGTGAAGCTGCTGCTTCTGCGAGAGTGTCCAACGAAGACGAATCGGGAGTAGCGCTGGAGAAGGAGTTGCCCACAGTAGAAGTAGCTGGGACTTCTCTGGATAAACCTCTTGTAAAAAAGAAAAGAAGACGCGACTACAGCTCAAAGGCCAAGCCACAGAAGAAAAAGATGAGGGATGCAGCGAAATGTGTGGGTTACTATGTTGATGCTCTGGACAAGAAGCTGCTCTGGGGGGAAGCGAGTATCATCCAGTGCAACGTTGCGACTCGGAAAATCAAGGTGCACTTTGTGGGGTGGAGCAAGAACCACGACATCTGGACCGATGTTAAGTCCATCACAGCTCACGGTCGCTACGCCCGTACGTCAAGATGTTCTCTGGCGTTTTCGTAGCACTGGGGACTGACACGGCATTTGTTTTTCGTCAATGGTTGTTGTAGCTTGCACGAAGGACAATACTGTGAAGAGCTGGAATGGCGACATGCGCCTGTTTGAAGACGTGCTCAGCAAGGTGGAGGAAACTAGCTTGACGCCAGTGCCAGGTCCAGTAGAGGATACTCGGCAGGTCACTTTGTTGCCCGCTTCTTTTACGGAGAAAGCTGGGGAAAAGCAGGAGGTATCTAGGGTGGATCATATCAAGAGATCAGCGCCGAAACGAAAAGCAGACGTTGATCGTGAGAAGAAGCCCGGTTTAAAACGCACGCTTGTGACACAGAAGTTAGTCAAGAAAACCGAGGGACACAGGCACGAATCTGTGCGTCGCTTGAAGCAAGTAAAAAAACAGGAAAGCGTCGGAAATCGGCGACCGCCAGTGCAATGCTTGACGAAGCAGAAACGAGAGGGACCGCATTCTACTGCTCTGACAATAGCAAAAGCGTGTGCGTCCACAAAGGAGCGAGCTGTTTTTTCTAATGAGCTGCCGGTATTTTGCAATCTCGAGCTAGATGACGGCACCGTGATGGATTTCTCGGTGCAGCGCGAGAAGGCGCGCGTGAAGCGAGAGGCGATGCAGAGTTTTCTCGACGAGTGTGCTGTGATTTGGAAGAACCAGCTGCATGTGCTGCCAAAGTAGTACGAGAGAGCGAGGACAGTGAGAGAGTGACATCGATGCTTGACAGGTGCTTGAGGAATGCAAGAGCACTTTTTGATCCGACCGTCGGTGCAGCTCATTTTGATCGATGCATGATCGTTTTTTTGTGGCGACACATTCCGAATGTCTAACGGTGGTGATATCCCTGATGGTGCTGCTCAAATAGGGCCTCTACAAAACATTATCGCTACTTGCACCACAGCCACACACGCACCCATTCACGCAACTATAGACAAGCGCGTGACACGCTCAGTCCGATCTGTACCTTGCGGAAAATCAGCTTTGTGTATGCCCGTTCCAGGTAAGTATTTGTAAATGCTGTCATGAAGGTATCAATATCCAAATAGTTGGTCGTTTGAAGAAGTAGCAGCACAAACGGATGCGAAGTTATGCCCACACCGCTAATGCCTGCACTCTCGGTGAATGCACGTTACAGGGATGGGCGGCCAACAACCAGGATACAACAACGTTCCCACCTTGCACACACTCAAAAAGATCGGTGAAGAGAGTACGAGTGTGGCCGACCAGGCAGCGATGACAAGCTGTGCATTGTGTCGGATAAAAGCTCACCGTGCGTGGTCTTGCAATGTTTTCTACAATGAAGCGAACCGAGCGGGCGTCTCAGCGACGTGTTGTGGCTCTCCATGTGTAAGCTTCATATGGAAAAGCGAAGAGAGAACTTTTCTCATTAGCAAACGTTATCAGACAAGTCTCCTGCTACCTTTCGCTAAGCACCACTTCAAAGCTACAGCTTGTCATGCTGGGTTGTCTCAAACCCAGCAGCTCACTATTGGCGTTCTTCGACTATCTTCTCTGGTAGCGAATGGAGGACAAGATGCCGATCCTGACAAGAGACACATCCTGCAAACAACATGGCTTGCAATTTTAGATAGGAGGAACGAGGTCTACTCACAACATTGCCAGCTTCATTCATTACTGCTTCATCTAAAGTGTGGCCACGGACATAAGGCATACCCGCAACTGACAATTCGGTCAGGAGGTTATCAAAGGTCTGGAGTCACAGATCCGAGTTCCGTCACTGGACCAGCTACTGGACATCTTATCGATACTTAATCGTCCAGGTGAGGCAATGGCCATGTGCCTGCCGGTCCTGGCCATTGCCATTCCTAGTTCCTCTCGGACAGAGGCTCGCCACGTAGCCGTGGATGCAAACAATACTAAAGCGCTTTCTCTAGGTCTGGCTCCTGAGGTCCGGTAAATGATTAAGGCTTCGCAATCCTGTTGGATGCAGCAGGCGGGTAAAGAGAACCGTCATCATGAGAACGACGGTGCAGAAGCTGGACAAGATCGGGGCTGGTCGAGCTCGCCAGAAGGTTCCGTAGGGGAATGTCAAGCTACTTTGCATCAGTTTAAGCAGCACATGTGAAAGGTTTATTGGGAGTTAAGAAGTGCGAGACCAGACAGGGTACGTCAGATAGCACATGTACTCGAGATTTGTCGGTTCCGCTGTGTGGCCGACGTCGGGACCGGAACTATTTAGCAGCTTCTCTGATTAGGCTGTCAATTGAGGCAGTAGCAGGTAAGGCAGTTCCAGGCAAAAGAGACTTTAATGTCAAGGTTGCGAACAGCAGCTTCCGCTGAACAGGAGGAGTGACTACTATCAACGTAAGCGATACATCAATGACAAAAGCAATCGAAGACAAAGGCGTATGGTAAGCAATGGCGACTTCCTTGCATTCAAATTAGTGATCGAAGATCTGGAGAGTCAACAGTGTACTGGAAGACTCACGTAGTGTCGGAAAGCGAGCCGAGAAGTTCATACGAATCGTGTTGCGATTGGTATTTTCAGAGATGGCGTGGCAAAAGGTCCGGTTACTTCCTATTTCTCGCACACATCCTTGCAGCATACCCTGACGTCAGCTGTGCCCTGACCGTGGCAAGACGTGCTTCCTCCAGCTCTGATCAGACACTCACGGCATTCCTGTGAGCTCACAGCGAGGCCAGAAGTGGAAGCGACAGCAGCGATGACAGTGATGAAGATGGTCTTGACGTTCATCTCGACAGATCTTGGAGCTTGACTTGTTGTGCGGTGTTGGCAAAACGCGGAATGACACTTGGCAAAGCTTGGGGGTTGATAGCGGCGCCAGCAAGCGGAGATCTAGAGACAGGATGGGAGACATCTAAACAACCATATAGTAGCGTAGAGCAGCACCATCACATGAGCACATGTCCAGCATTGCGCAAATAAGTTGGTGCTCAGTGGGTTGTAATCATTCGCCTCGGCGAGCATTTATCCAAGCCGGCTCTCGTGTATCGCATAGACAAGATACAAGAGCGTTGGATCTTGCTCACACCAGAGACCAGCGACGAGGAGATGACCTGCAACATCTTGTCAGCACATTTCCCGCATCGCGGTACCAGGTTAGGGCTCTGCGGGTTGCGATCAACTCGCTCTGCGTGCGTAAAGTCGAGCCGTTTGATCAATCTCTTTGTACAACTTCAAGTCACTTGGCGTCTAGTCGCGGTCTCTTGTACTCTAATTAGCTGCATCTCTTTCTGACATCGAGTACTGTTTCGATCCATGCCCGGACTTCTATGCATTCGGCCACTGTACGCACAGTTGATCTTAGCTGACGCACCACGGGTAAATTAGTTTGGCACCAATCACATCTTGCATCAGTAACTTTGACGACGCCTCATGAACCATTTTTACAACTTAGATCGGGAAGTAATCTTAAAATCGTATGGATGCGTCGTTGTGACGCGAAAAGGGCTCTTCAAGTCTTGGCGCTTGCAAGTTATCCGAAGACGAAAGCGAAAGCAGCCTGCAAAAGAATCGCAGTACTATGGGTCATTTGAGCTAACTATCTCGGTGTAATTGGAGCATTGCTTAAGCTGGCGATATTGTGTTGTCTGCCTTCTAACCTTTCAACAAAGACAATCGACAAGCGCCCACTCCTCTGGCAACTCGACGGACACGACCTCATATCGGTATAGTCCCGTCCCCAAGCGACAGACATCGACAACGGCACGTAAACCTTGGTATCAACAAAGTCAATACGTAAAGCTCGCAATGTCGCATTGTAAAATTCATGTCGCGACTGTTACCCATGGGACCGTAGCTCAAGTGAGCCATCACCGTCGTGAAGAGCTACACCAGACCTTCATAAACCGTGACACGCCATCCATTGCTTCAAGTTGACGTCGACAACAAACACTCGTGAGGGAAAGTCGACGTCAGACGTGTCCATAGTCGAACAAGCTCAGAAGCTACAAGCGTAATCATTCCAGAGGTGCAGCAATCACATCCGTTAGTTCAAGTTGACGTTGACGACAAACACTCGTGAGGGAAAGTCGACAGCAGACGTGTCCATGGTCAAATGAAGCTCGGAAGCTACAAGCGTAATCATCCCAGAGGCGCTGCAATCACATCGACCTCGATCTTCGAGCATTGCAGTGACAAAGAAAGGCTCAATTGTGACCGCGTCCAGCGTAGCAGAAAGACCAGTGTTCGCTCAAAGCACATGGTTTTGGAGCAAGACTGAAGTATCTGCTCTCCTTTCCACCAATCAAGGGCAGGTCTAAACGTCCTCCTTTGATAGACTACCCCTCCTCTCTTGAACCCTCCAGTACACAATTGTAGATTGATAGTGCTCCTAAGCCGTGCTCGGTGATACCGTTCGTCGCCCAGACTCAAACAACATTGTGTCTGCGTGAGGGTAATCGTCATGCGTCGTGATACACCATCATCAACGAGATAGTTTACTGCTGCGAGGAAAGCGTTTTGGCGGCTGGAGAAGCACGGTCGAGGTAAGGATGCGATGTTGTAGGCTTGATTTTGTTGTCGCGTAGAATACAAATGTGTTGAATACAAGTGGCTTACATGCTGCTTATGGGACACAAGTCGTAGTACGAAGCTGCGATCGTCACTGCTGTCGGCTTTGGTGTCAATAGTGGATCAGATAGCTGTAGTGTTTGGCAGTGGACAAGGAGCCAGAAAGCGTCAACGTATCGCGGGTCAGATTACTCAACTCATGTCGTATTGAGCCATTGCACATCTGGGTATACAACTTACTCAACTTATGCATCCGCATGTCGAAGGGATGCTGCAGCGTTCAGTCGTGCGCCGCCATTGCATTGTTGATTCACAAGGCGCTCTATGTCGCGAATGTTGGAAACTGTGCTGCTGTGCTGGGAGGAATAAGGAGACGCCAGGACTACGGGCGCACGAAGATCAGCTGATCGTTCATGCAATCATATGCCCAAGACCAATCAAGTGGCGAAGCGCTCGCACGATCACGACGCGAACTCTATCCTGACTGGCATATCGTGAGACGCAGAGCACGAAGCAAAAGCACTGTTTATGCGCAATTGTGTACTGGAAGTTACAAGAGAGGAGCGATAGTCTGTCAAAGGAGGACGTTTAGACCTGCCCACCAATCAAACGAGTGACAAGCGCTACAACGTAATAGCAGCGCCAGGGGCGGAAGGTACCTGTTTATATGGAGGCGACAAGGCTCTACCCGAATGACGTGCCCCTGCTGGCTCGCACAGGGCTCGGCATCACTGTCGCAGGGAGCGACCCGGACCATGTCCCGCTTGTTCCGACGCTGGTCAACGATCACCGCAGACGCTTCGCTCTGGACGGCAGTGCAGTCGACGCGAACGGCGTTGTGCGTCTTCACGTGCGCAATGCCTTGGGCTACGCCTTTCTGCGTCCCTATCACGTGCACCGATTACGCCGAGCTTATGCTGGTATGCGTAATACAAAGGAGTCCGAGTGGGCGACTCAAGCTTCGTTCTATCGCCATAATTACCGCCACTTTGTGCCGCATGATCTACTGATGGAGTTGTTGAGGAAGGAGTGTCCGTACGTTGAGTTTTTTTCTCTACGTTGATGCATACTGCCAGTGTAGTATAAGGTGTGAGTGTGAGACTTTGAATGGTGTATTGACATGAGCTGGGTGTGATGCTGTAAAGTCCACAGGAGGATGGGAACACGTTGTCGAAGTGGCAGGGCAATGCGATTGCTGGCGTGGACTGTGGACAGGACGGCCACGTGGTGTTCTATCCGACAGGACAGGTCTTGCAACAAGCTTGTGCCTTTTATAGTCGAGGAGCGTCGGAGGAAGACGTGCCGTGCTCTAGCACAGTTGTCGAGACGGGTGCTGCAATTCGGCAGTTTGCCGTGATGGGTAGCAAGGACGCGTATCATTCGACAAGTGCTGCAAAGATATTTGCTGTGGCTAGGGGGTGCACAAACTGCACAATTGTTGCAGCCCCAGCACGTGTGACGCCTGACAACATGCGGAAGATGCAGGCCAAGGCAAAGATATCGTTCACTGAAGTGATAAACCATGTAGCTGGAAGCCCGCATGCAGAGGCTGAAGTGGCATTGGTTACAGCCGACGGTATCGTTCGGTGGTGGGACCCAGAAGGGGGGATCCAAGTCGCCGATACAGGCACTACTATGCGAGACCGCTTGTTGCGCTGTGAATATTCCAGGTATGATGGAAGCTTGGTTTACACTTCCTTTGGCTGACTAAACTGTTTGCTGTCGTTTGCTGTTTGTACACAGCCACCCTCGTGTACTGTGGGCAGTAAATCGAGTTTCAGTCTCTACCTTAGACCTTAGGCAACCAGCTCACCACGCGAGCAAGTTGTTTGATGTAGCGAGTGCGGGTCCTTACGTAACTATTTATGACATAAAGCGCAGAGCAAGGTACGCTTTGAAAAGATGATGGCGCCTGAGTGTTTCACATATTGATGCATCATTCCTTGGCCATGCAGCAACCCGTTCCAGTTTGTCGTCGGTACCGGTGTCTCTATTGAGCTTCTGGACAGTCGTATGGCGAGGCAGCACCTTCTTTCGTGGACTCAACCCGAGAGCTATTCTGGCGAGTCTGAGTTTCCGTTCGGAGCAATTGACGAAGTGGACATGTCGGGAAGTGCTGATGACTTACGTGGTACGCTAACGAGTATCGTCGTCTCGGTGATACAGCTTACTGACACCTTGCTTGTGTGCATGTAAAGGTTACATTGTGTCGAGCTTGAAGCGGAAGAAGGTATCGACACTCTTCCCTTTCGAGCGGAATCGGAAAAGACGACATGACAAGATATTGTCGCTGTCGTCGCTGCGGTCCAACACCGATGACGAGTACTCAACCTCTTCGCGCACAAGCATTGAGCAGCTAGTTGCTTCTGACGCTCCGTTGGATTTGCACATGGAAGACGGTGGGGAGTACACAAATTTGACGGGTGTTTGCGCGCTGCGAGATGAAAGCTCTTTATCTGCAAGTATTTATCAGCTCAACAGTCTGGGCGATTTGTTTTCCCACCGAGTGGCGTTTGGCCGCTCTTCGACAAAGTCGTATCATGCTGCTATTCAGTCCGAGTACGTTTGGCGCACAGTTGTGGTTGGCACGTTTGGTTTGTCGATATCTGCTGTGTCTAACACCTTGTCTTGCTGTACAGTTTGCCATGTGGTGTAGCTGCTCAGGCTGAGGGTACAGACGAGCTGATTGCTAGGACTTTTCCAATACCGTCGGATGCTATTCTACCCGAACACGATACCGAGTCGATGCAAAAGTTTATCACCCTTCCTATCAAAGTCCTTCGGCGACAGTTTCCGCGCCTGCCGGAAGATAGAGATACATCCGTGGAGGCTCAAGACACAACAGCAGCGTCGCTCGGCAACTGTACGAACAAGGAGAGCAGAAAAGATGATAGCAGGAAAACAGACGCAGTGGGCATCAGCAGATCTCCACGACAAAGTCGTAACGACAGTGACAACCGGAATGCTGGTAAAGCTGAATTGCGATCGGTGAAGAGAGTGTATATTGAGAGGTCGCGTGGGAACGGAGATGGCACAACTGACGCGATGGTCGCTGCATCGACACGGTCAGAGCCTCTTGACAAGGATGAACTAGTCAAACGACTCATTGGCATCTGTGACCCCTCGACTTCGCTGTTTCGGCTGCACCGTTATGTTTTCGACGTACTCAAGGTCGAAGTTCCTTCGACTAACCTCTTGCAACTGCTTCGTTCACGCAACGAATTCCGAATTCGAATGGTGCACCACGCGCTTCCAGCAGATACGCTGTGTGTGCGTAACCCGTCACGACCAGGAGCCGATGACGTGCACTACAAAAAGGACGATCCGCGCTTAGCTTCATGCACTTGTCGTCCCGGATCGTCCCCCGTGCAATTACCGTGTCAATCATGGGCCTGTGTAATCCCTCACGCAGTCATCGTGTCAAGCTCATCGATGGAGCTGCATTTGGACAACACAGCCCCTTCATCGAGTGTTCGACAAGAGATGCCGGTGGATTTGGCTGATATCATTGTTGCCGCGCAGGCCGTGTACGATGACATGTACGAATGTCCATAAGAGTCCAGTATGACCGATCGTCTATTGCTGTGCAATCAGCCAAACAGCATGAATCATCGCACTAACAAAACAGTCGGGCTCCATTATTCTACAGCATCGCTCGCCTAAAACATGTGTATCGCGACCTGATACCGAGAAAAGGTAGGTACGAGCCCGCGATACCGGACTACGCGACAGAAGTTGGATTGCCACGAACACCGACACATGTTGGCACACCCTACAAGCTGTTTGCTGCAAAGGCGTCCGCATATGACCCGGAGAGAGGCTAAAAACTCGCCAGTAGTCCCGGTTACATCCTGGCAATGGAAGACCAGGTAGAATATGAGCCTAAGCCGTGGTTAAATCGGCTTTGTTGTGTGCAGTATGGGCATACGCCAAGTTGTGAGCTTCAAGAGACGTTGCGACGAGAGAAACGTGCCAATCGAAACGTCAATGCAACGTGCAATATTCGGGCGTCTCCACACTTGAGCAGCATGCATTTGTGCCCGTAGTACTTCTACACACCCGATCTTCGCTTGCTGCGATTCTATCACAAACGTGAGCACCGTAGATTGGACACCTTACATAACCAGCAAATGCTGGACAGTTCTATAGCACTGTGACGCTAAAAAGTGTAACAAAAGCATATTCGTCCAAAGCTCGCAGCTAAAGCGATCGAGGGCGATTCCATCCCCGCTACTGCAAATTTAGTGGTAGCGTTGTCCTTGCACTTACGCCACGATGGCGAAGATATCGCGTAGAACTCAGCGTGTGCCCAACTAAAACCCGTACAAGGGTGCCTCTAGCCACGTATCCAAAGGCTCCTCTTTCCATGAACTAAATCCAAACACACAGGCAACTTGGATATGAGGGCACCTGAGGACCACCTTGGTTTTGCACAGAGTGCCACTTCCAGTTTCGATACAAAGGGCTGGACAGCTCTCCACATACCACCGGGGTGTGAATGAGCTTTGCAGCGATGCAGTGTCCACCACCGCCTGCCCCAAAAAAATCGGCTGCCACACGGTGATCGTCCTTCTTTCCGACGTCTTTCGTCAACGCACACTCCTTTGTCCAGTGTGGGTATGCTAACTTCGCCGCTAACTTCGCCGCCAACCTCTTCCCGCTTCGTTACGAACCCGACTGCAGCTTTTTGCACTGCCAACTAGACCTCTCTAACTACGCGCTTCAACAGTACAAGAACCAAAAGGATAGCTTCGGTGTCGTACGAACGGATACACATTGTCCTGACGCAAAGAGTAGACGCTTCCCGGTTTGGTGTCATCAAAAGTACCTTTCGTCGTGGGCTCTCGAGCGTCAACTTGCACTGGCTACAGCAGTGTATTACGTGTAGATACTAGAATCCGTACTCTCAGTCTCTTTCACAGCTTGAAGTCGATCGAAATCGAGCACCACAGAGTCGTTCTCGAGCTGTTGAACGTTCGTATCGTACGCCTAGCCGTAGGAATGCTCATCCTTGACCTTACTGCAATCAATGACATCCTGCGCAACACCTACAAAAAAGAGAGACTGAAATACCCGAATGCTGGCGAATGTCCAGTGAAGTCCATACTATTGCTAGCACGAAGCAGGAAATGGCTGCGAGAAGCACGTGACTTGTCCTTTCACTTGTTCGTGTTACGAAGGGAATCGGAATGAAGTGCGACTGACAAGACGCATCAAACACTCGGTAAATGAAAAGGTCCGAGGTTTTAAAGTAGTGGCTTCAGCAGTTCTAGGTATGACGGCACTGTCCCGGAACTTTGACGATTTGGCAAATGAGTAGAACGAACGATGTTTAGCTACTCCAAGGACTTTTTGATATCCGAGGTCATGAATTCGGGCTTAGATCGAGGTCCACGGCCTGCGAGGTCGAGACAAGAAGGTGGGATTTACCGCACGTCCTGACAATAGTGGGATATAACTACTATGCAGTGAGTTCTTGCAGCGATAAAACCTGTGGCAGTAATCTACACTAATGTCACATCATTCTCGCCGACGTCACGCTAGACCGACCAGTTGTGGTCAAGCTCTCACGCTTGATCGTAATCCCACTGGCGCAACATATGCCCCACTCATGTCGAATCGATTCGTCTATTCCAACTCACAATCACAACTCTACGCGCTTACTTCAGCCAAAAACCTCTACAACTGACTGTACCACACAATTCTTCCACCATTCATCCCAGCCAGTTTCATAACGTAACCGTAACCAATTCACAAAAACGACATGGGAGCCAAAGGTCCGCTCAGTGGGACCTCGACGACGTCCAAGACTCTACCACGACCGCAACCACGCGACTCGACGCTCGTGCTCTACACCCTCGTGGGCGAACCACTCGAGCCGCTGCAAGCAAGTGCATCGGACCACGCCCCGGACACGAACTGGAACGCGTTTGTGCTGCCTTTGCCGTCTTCTGGCCGCTGCGTAACCCTCGCGGACGTGCACGAGGCGTTTCCATTGGGCAACAACTACCACTTTGCCTTTCGATGCAAAGAAGGGGCGTATCTGGACTTGACGAACCCGGATTCGGCCGTGCCGTTCACTGGGCAGAAGATCCTCGCTCGAGTCACGCCGTTAGAAGAAGAGCCGCGGGTTGAGTACTTGCTTCACGACGAGTATGGGGCCGCTGGTATTTCTTCTTCATCTTTTGATGATGCAAAGACGAATTCAGAAGCGTTGAAGCGTCGCACTGATAGTTATGCTAGTAGTGGGACACTGGAGCATCGGAGTCATGGATCGGACGACTACGTGGAATTCGAGTCGACGACGTACGAGTCTCAAGGTCAGGAGGGGTCATGCGTGTGTCTTTGTTTCTCTGTTTTGTTTGCATTCAGGTGAATTTGGTACATGTTGATGCTGAGTTGAGATGTGGATGATGTAGATGAAGAGAGCTATCCACCGGTGGACCGTCCACCTTTACGGGATCAAAGGCAGATGGAAGGGCGTCCGCACGGTGAGTGGAATCACAATCGGTATGGGCAAAGAGATGACAGGATGTACCCAAGTCAAGATGATGGCAATGGAGGCTCGAGATTTGACTGCGTGGAGCAGCAGACAATGGATGAAGGATCAAGCACACGTCAGCAAACAGAGTGGACAGATGCTGCTAAGGACGCGCAGACATATTTGCGAAAGCAGACGGAACAAGCGTACGATTTTGCAAAGAAGATCTCGATTGAGGATGCGAAAAAAGGCGCGACAGCAACGGCTGAGAAGGCCAAGAAGTGGGGAGGCTCGCTGCTGTCGTCCATCAGTGCGACGATATCCAATAGTAGCGTCAGTGTGACTAAGGCATGTTTGGTGTCATGTGGGTTTGTTTCTTAAGCTCACATACGGCTTTCGTGTATTGTTACGTGGACAGCAGAACGCAATCGTCCAGATCGGTGGAGTCAGTGTTCGGATGGTGCAGCTTCTTGCAGAGGGTACAAATGCTCACGTTTACTTGGTTCGTTCATCGGCTACGAGCGACACGTTTGCTCTCAAGCGAGTTCTCTGCCGGTCCCAAGATGTTGAGGACAATGTGCAGATGGAGCTTCGAGTGTTTCGCGTACGCCTATAGGTCATATCTTTTGGCAGCATCGTGTATCTTTTTCTGACGGAAGTTGTTGTGCAGTCCGTCAAGCACCTGAATATGATGCCGCTGATCGAATTCTCCGAGACACGCGTTCAACAAGGAATTGAGGTACGCGATGTCTGTTCTTCTTCCTTCTCCGCTGTCATTAACGATGTGACTGCATTATTTTGTGCACCATCATGTAGTTTCACTTCTTGGTTCCGTATTTCGAGCGTGGAAGTCTGAGGGATGCGATTACTGCAGCGTGCCTGTCATCATCGCCCCTTTGGCCATTCACTCAACGCACAGCATTGCATCTTTTCCATGGCATTTGTTCTGGCGTGCTTGCACTGCACCGAGCTGGTTTCTGCCATAGAGATATCAGGCCGCATAACATCTTGCTGTCTTCGTCATCTACAGGAGAGAATTTTCTTGCGTACATTCCAGTGGTGACACATTTCGGCAGCTGCGTTCCGATTCACGCAGAAGGACATGCGCGTCGCAGTTTGCTCGAGCGGCAGAGTGGAGTAATACGCAATAGCTCAGCCCCGTACCAGGCACCTGAAAGTTTCGAACCGGCTGTGGATCTCGCGCTGGACGGCCAATCTGACGTGTGGTCCCTCGGTTGTGTGTTGTACGTACAACAGGATGAGAGGAATGTAACCTCAGTCACTGACACTGTCCTCTGTTTCCGCTTTGCAGATATGCAATGGCATTTGGAACAAGCCCGTTTGAGCATCCGCACGAGGTACTTGTCTCATTCACAACGGCGATGTTGCAACATCTTGTGTAATGCTGTTTGCATGTATGTTAGGGCTTTGTAAAGTCAGCGTGCGTAAACGGCCAAGTGTCATTCCCGCCAGAGCAAGGTGGTATGGTGCACCACCGCGGCACCCGATTTACAGCCGAGTTCTGTGACTTTATCCGAGACATGTTGCAGGTGAACCCTGAAGAGCGGCCTTCCGTCCTGGATGCGCTCGAATTTACCGAGGAGCTGTTAAATGATGAGATGCAGCAGTAAGCAGCACTGCATCTGTGCAGTCTGACAGTCTCACGAAAATGACGAAGCATGGCAACAAGAATACTACAAAAGGCGATTCAATCGGTTCCTTGCAGATGTTACGACGAAAGCTAAAGGCACAACGCCAAGCCAGAAGCTTAAGCCAAGTAAGCAGCAACCAAACCGACGGTCGTCGCCACTGCAGCCGACACCACAGTGATCGGAGCAGCTCCAGCACTTGAGATCGGTGCTGGGCGGGGCGTAGCAGAATCGTCCGTAGGGACTCCCACTGGTGCAAACGAAGCAGATCCCGACGTATTACGCCACTCAACCGAGCCACTGGTCGAGTCCGTAGAGTTGGATTCGCTCGCATTCATGGGCGTGATCCCGCAGTACTCGAGCAGCTTCATGGCTGAGTATTGCAGTCCCCAGAGGTCGTAGCGGCAGTTTGGCAGCGTATTGTAGAGCTCTTGCAGCGCTGCTCGACAGGATGCCGTGTCGCACATCTCCGTAGCAGATGCAGTCGTCACTTGCAGCATCGTCCCGGCCGTGAGGTTGAGCGCTGTCTCGCATTGTTCCGCGCGCTGGTTCGAGGTCAGAACCACTTGGCCTTCGTCCAGCTGGGTCGGGGTGCACTCGGCAATCGCTGCGAGCTCCGGGGACGCAACCAGCGAGCCCGGGTCCGCCTGTGCAGAGGCGGTCGAAGCAGCAGCAGCAGCGACGATCGCTACGAACCCTGCGACTGGTTTGAACGTCTGCATGGCTGAATCGGATATGTGGAGAAGACGGAAGACTACGTCTGACTTGCTGAATCGATGACCGATCGTTCAGAAAATACAGCTGGCGTTGTCTATGGCAGCGAGCGGTATCGTTATTTTCGTTAGGGTACTGTAACTGAGATCGACAGAATGGAAACGTTTTGTGCGTTTTGTGGCAGCAGCATGATCTGATAAAAAAGCGCTTTGTTTGCTCAATCCACTTTCAATAGTGAGAGGACACCAAGACTGCTCGAGTTGTTGCATGAATGTCAGTCCTGCTTTAGTGCCACTTGTTGACGGCTGAACAATGCCTTCAACCTCGGCACTTGGCTCGGGTCAAAGATAGCATCTATAGACGCCCCCGCGATATCACGTAGTCGTGCTTTACTCAGTCCAAATGCTTGCGCTGCTCGCACGTACTCGAGCGACAGTGTCGTGCCGAGCACGCCGTAGTCGTCGGTACATAGACACATAGGGTAGACACCGTGCTGCTCTAGATCTCGCTCGTTGGCAAGCAGCTTCTGGTGCGGATGCGATGTGTAGTCGCATATACAAAGTCCAGATATTTCATGCTTGGCACTAGACGGACACTTGCAGTCTCCGTCTCTACGATATCGGGCCAGCGTGTGGGCGTTGGAGGTCAAGCACACTTCGACTGGAATGCGCAGTGCCAACATCCTGGCATACAGAGGCTCGGATAGACAACAAGCATGGCCCAGCCGATCCGGTCGGAACGCCAGGATTTGACTTGACTCAGCATCGTTGAAATGCTCAGCAAAGTGCACGGCAAGTTTAAGTCCGCCGGCTCGAGCGCGTCTGAGGACGTGCTCAAAGCGGTAAAACTCGGACTCTGGACACTCTGAATTGCCGCTAAAGTCAATACCGACAAGGTACGGACAGCTCTGCTTGTTCTTGAGCTCCAGTGCCATATCCACCGTATCTTCAGCAAGTTCGAGCGACTGATTCCGGTTGATACTCAGCAAAAGACGCACCTGAATGTCCAAATCTCGTCGTGCACAGCACTCGGCAAGTACCGTCACGACTTCATTCACGTAGTCCATACGGGTCGCCCCATCTCTCGACAAGCTTCGAGGCGTCGAACGCAGCTCGAGATACTTGACGTTCTCTGCTGCAAAGTCTTCGATTGCTTCAGTGACAATTCGACGGAGAACTGATCGGCTCGTGACAACGTGGTGAATCAACTGGAACATCTGGAAACACTCGGCCAGACTTCGTTTCAATGGGACTTCCAGGTGCACGAGACCGTCTCGTCTGGCTTCGTCCTTCTTCAAAAGTTCTTCTAACGTTGCATGTCGAATTGAGCCGTGGATATGCGCGTGCAGCTCGAGCTTAACCAGTGCCTGGCAGTGCTTGTCCATCATAGCTGAGCACGATGTTGTCAAGTGGTGTGGTGCACATGAACTGAGGTGGTGCACATACGTTTGTGTGCACGTGAGGTGGTGGGACGGCATCAGCACCACCACGTCGACTCTTCCACGCATTCTCTGACTTCCTCTCTCTCTCTCTCTGTTTGTCGGGGACCGAGCACGCGTCGGTTGCTATCCCTACTACACACGTATGATTGACCACTTTGTCATCTTCTCCAAGACTGGAACGGTCTTGTGGTCGCGCACGTTGTGCAAATTGGGCAGCGATCCTGTGGATAATCTCATCAGTCGCGTCCTGATGGAAGACCGAGCGGGCGAGAAGAAGTTCATTGACGACACGTATGCGCTGCAATGGGTCTTTGAGAACAAACTCGACCTGGTGTTTGTCGTCGTCTATCAGAAGATTCTGCAGTTGCTCTACATTGAGGAGCTGCTGGAGATTGTCAAGAAGGACTTTGTTGCCATGTTCCCTCAGCAGATTGCAAATCAAACCCCCGTGGCGTACGGACCCAAGTTTACTAAGATTCTCAAGGCTACGGAGCTCAAGGCGACGTCGAAACAAGTGCGGAAGGGACCGCGTGGGTTTATTATGTCCAAGAAAGCCAAGGCCAAAGGCGTCACGAACCGTGCAAGTGGCCACACGACATCTTCTGTAAAGCCAGCGCGAACAGCTGGAAATGTACGAGCAGCAGATGTTGCAACTGTGGGGGTTTGTACATACGAATGATGAATGCGTGCTGTTTGTTGTGTTATGGTGAACACTAGCAATCTGATGATGATGATGGAGGTGGCAGCCTTGCGTCGGACGAGCTAGCCAATGATCTGAACGATCTGGAAAGCGAGGCAGCCCTGCGCTCGTCAAAGGGACGCAAAATGCGCACGGGTCCGCGCCGGAAAGGGAAGGAGAATACGGCGAAGGAGCTAAAGAAAAGCGGCAAACAAAGGACAATATGGGACGATACAAAGGTGTCCAAAAAGGAAGCGCAATCGCTCGACCGCTCCAAGACAGTAAGGATGCAAAGGATTGATTGCAAGTAGTAGTTAGCTACTATGACTGTACTGACGTGGTGTGCTGTGTGATGCCAGGTTAGTGCTGCAGAAGAAGTGGCTCAGCTCCGTGAGAAGCGCGAAGCTTATATTGGAGTACGTTTGCTTTCATGCTAGTTACCATAGGAGGGCACGGAGTCTGATGTAGATCTTGGGTGAATGTGAACAGGAACTGGAAGATAGCGACTCGGGTGAGTTGGTGGATACTGACGACGAGTCTGCAGCCTCCTCGGAAGCAGACTCTGACTCCAACCAGGGCGGGTGGAGCTTTTCCAACACTCGTATTGGCAATTTTCTCAGCTCAGTATCTGGCAATAAGATCCTTGAGCGAAACGACTTGGAGCCTGTGATCACCCCTATGCACCAGATGGTAGGAGTGTTGTGTGCTTCTTTGATTTCTTGATGTGAACTTGACAATGACTAAGTCTTGTCTTGCAGCTAATCAGCAAGAACGTAGCTTCCGAAGTCGCCAACGAACTGTGCGAATCTGTCATTACTACCGTAGTCGGTCAAAGACTGGAGAGCTTTACGCGCATATCAACGGTTGTGCGCAAGGCTCTGGAAGCCGCACTGCTGCGTATCTTGACGCCGAAGAAATCTACTGACGTGCTGCGCGAGATTCTGCAGGCTAAAGCAGAAGGCCGTGCATACAGCATCGTCTTTGTGGGTGTCAATGGTGTGGGCAAGTCCACCAGTTTGTCTAAGGTCTGCTACTACTTGAAATCGAAGGGCATCAATGTCATGATCGCTGCGTGCGACACTTTTCGTTCTGGAGCTGTGGAGCAACTGAACCAGCACGCAAAGGTCCTGGACGTGAAGTTGTTCGAGAAGGGCTACGCCAAAGACCCAGCCTCGGTGGCCAAGGAGGCAATCAAGTATGGCACCGACAATGGTTACGATTGCGTGCTTATTGACACTGCCGGTCGTATGCAAAATAATGAGCCGCTCATGCGCGCATTGGCCAAGCTTGTGTCTAACAACGAGCCGGACCTCGTTCTCTTTGTTGGAGAGGCATTGGTTGGAAATGATGGTATCGACCAGCTGTCGATGTTTGATCGGGTACGTGTCTTGTGAGTAAGAAACGGGTTCCGCGGCGGCAGTCTGACTGTAGCATGAATGTTGTAGTCTCTTGCAGACTACTCGGACCGTCGTGAGCCACACCGCATTGATGGCATTGTCATCACGAAGTTTGACACCATTGATGACAAGGGTAAGGCTGTCAAGATTCGTGGCAGTGCTTTGGTAGTTTGGCTGACATTGTGTTGTCTGCGTGTTACTCACAGTCGGTGCTGCACTGTCCATGGTATACAAGACCGGCCAGCCGATCATGTTTGTTGGCACGGGCCAGAAGTACACGCATTTGAAGAAGTTGAACGTGCGCACGGTCCTGCGTCACCTCTTGCAGTAAGGCTTTTGGAGCTCTTGGCTGTTTACCGGAGCCCGTATCGTATTGAGGTCACCGTGGTGTTAGCAAGTGCTACTCGAAAAGAGAGCTCCTCTGATATACATAGCTCGCCAGGAGCGATCACATCAGTCCATAACAAGGATTTGCCTGCACAGCAATCTTTGGTTTGAGAGGTTGAAGTAGCCGTGATCTTTATCGACACTTCTCGACAACGTTTCACTTCGAGAAACTCACAAGCCGCAGAGCTCCCAGTAGGGATGTCAATAACAGGCTCGCATCATCCAGCCCTGCCTCTCTGTCTCCGCCATCGCAGTTGAAAGACAACTGCTACATGACATGCCTGTGATCGATATTCCTCCTGAAAGATCGGATCGGGTGGAGCCACCATTCGTACTATACAATGATCGTGCAACAAAATTACGATACTGTCGAACTTACTGGCGACAAGTGCTAATGCACGATCGATACAAAATTAATCCTTGCACGACTTCTCGTACACGATCATTGCGTTCTTCCATGACTATGGCATTTGCCTCTCGATAGAAATACCTCCATTGATGATCGATTCCGCGCTACAATGTCCCTACCCCTTACTCAAACATCAACCAATCCAATCCATCTCCTACTATTCCAACCAATGATACGCCGCAGTCAACATCGTTCCGCCAATAGAACGTCGTCATTCGAACCGCTGGAGAACGCGGCCATCGTCGCCAACACCGTCGGCACCGGTTCCCTCGGCTCCAATCTCATCGTCCAGCCCATTTCTCAATTGACCTTCCACTTGCCACTCGCTTCCTCCCCAATGGCTAAGACTCCATCCAAGAAAGCCGCCAAGACGGTCGCCAAGACCGGCAAAGGCAAGGGCCGCGGCAAGAAGCGCGTCGAGTCGTACTCGACGTACATCTACAAGGTGCTGCGTCAAGTGCACCCGGAGACGGGCATCAGCAAGCGCGGTATGTCCATCATGAACTCGTTCATCAATGACATTTTCGAGCGTATTGCTTCGGAGGCCGGCAAGCTCTCGCGCTACAACAAGAAGTCGACGCTGTCGAGCCGAGAGATCCAGACGGCCGTGCGTCTCATGCTTCCGGGGGAGCTCGCCAAGCACGCCGTGTCGGAAGGCACGAAGGCCGTGACCAAGTTCACGTCTGCTTAGACACGTTGCGTGCGACGCTTGGACTTGATCAGATTTGGGTCTGCATGGGCGGCAAGGTCAGTGCGATCGCACATTTCCATTCGGTGTTTCTAAACACCACCCGTTCGAAAAAAGGATCATGTTGAGTGGAGATTGGGGACAGACGCACGCGATTGGAAGTCACGGCTCTTGTTGTTGTTGTTGTAGTAAAATAGACATTGCTTAATCTGAATCGTGCGGTCTCCATATTTGTGAAAACGTTCCGTGACAGAAAGGTTAGAAAAGCGACAGATCAGTCGGAAGGTTGGAAATGGATACCCTTTGTTGACGGTTACGGTAAGCTTGACACGCGACTGGCTACGATGTCTCGGTGTGATAATTGCAATGCTCTTGTCGTTGGGGATACAGATATCGACGCAAAGCACGGAATCGATGACGAGCGTGGTCGTGTACCAAGTGTGCAATGAAGTAGGTCGAAAGGCCACTTGACGTCATGAAAAAAAGGCTCTGCGATCGTGTCGAATACGTCCACTACCGGAGACCGGATTTGCATAAATGGGCACGTCAATTCGATCATTAAGGCCGCAAAAAAGGACTCATTATCAAAAAGGTAACCAGAATCAAGCGGTAGTCACAAACTGGGGCCAGTCCAAAGTGCACAATCTCGTCCGTCCGTCCGTCCTTTTTACTTCCTCAATCTGTGGCACTACAATAAAAAGCGCTTTTTTTAGTCTGAGCTGGGACGTCGCACTGTGACTGTCACCCGAAACCCGACGCGGCGGTATTTCCTGCGACACTTGTCCGCGTTGACTCGTTCTGGACGGATCAACATAAAACGGGCACCCTGAATTACAGTCACTCCCTTTTGTTCTCCCGTCCACGTGGGCCGCGCTGACTCTCGCTCGTGTCTCATCCCTTCCGTCCGTCGTCTCCCTCCCTCGCTCCCTCACTGCACGTCTGTGGACGCCACCGCGCTCTCGTCCGCGCCATGACGCCGCCCGACTTTCTCTTCCGAGTGTCGCCGCTCAAGCTGCACGTGCGCACTGCCACGCAGACGCATGGCGAACCTGCTGTCGTACGTGCTTTTTCTGAAAATAAACGCTTGCATTTGACAAAAATAGACAAACCCAAGCCTCCGAATCAGGCGGGAGACCCTTCTATCTGATTACTCCGGGTTGTGACTCTTGCGTCTGAGATGCTAAAGTGCCGCGTGTGTCTTTGATGTTGCTACAGTACGAGCTCTTCTGTCGTCTAAACACCACGTGTGACCAGCAAGAGGCGCAGCAGGAGGGAGAGCCAGCAGCTGCCGCAGCAGTGCAATGGAGTATTTGGAAAACGTACGACGAGTTCCAGGCGTTTGATAATCAGATGCGAGCCGTTCGCGAGTGTCTTTTTGCCAAGATGATGGTCACGGTCGTCTTTGCACCAGGCCATCGCATGCGCGCGTTTTTCCACCAGGATCATACGCCGAGTTTTCTCGAGAAACGACGCGCGGAGCTGGATTTCTACATGCAGCGCGTGATGTTGTTTCCAAACGTGGCCGAGTTCTCGAAAAAGCGAGGAGGCTGCAAGGTGCTGGCCGACTTTATCGGTGCGGAACAGCACATTGACTGCAGTGGCTTGCTTGTTCCCATGTCGCCAAATATGAACGTGTCGGGCGATTTCTCTTCGTCCATGGGAATGCAGCGTGATGATTCAACGAACTCGGACAATCGCGTGTCATGTGCGAGTGGGGTGGGCACAGGTGATAAGGTGAACTCGGTGCGAAAGAGGAGCAGGCTCGAGATTGAGGAAGAGGTAGCTTTGCGTTGTGGAGACCACGAGCTGAAGCGGTTCAAGAAGCACGCACGTTTCTTTCGCAAAGAAAATGATCCGGTTGCGGCTGCAACCGCTTTTGTTGAGTTCTTGCTGAAGACGTTCGATCCTGAATTCGTAGGCTGGATTGTGCAGCGCTTCGTGCGATCACTGAGGAGTGCAGAAAAGCGCGAAGCGTTGCGTGCTGCTGTCAGCCTGTCCATGGCATCTACTGGTGTCGATCGAATGGAGGAGAGCCGGTCGCAGCGTCGGAATTGTCGCACGAGCTCGCAAGATGACGAAGGGGCTGATCACGGAGTCGAGAAATACGGTACGTTTGCAATGGTACGGTACGGTAGTTGATAGCTGGTTCACTTGCTCACATCTCATCTCTTCTGTGATGGTGGAATCCACGCGAGTAGATCAAAAACTGCAGGGGTTATCCGACCGCCACCAAAACTCAGACGCGCGCGCGAGCGACCCTGCTATCCATGGACGGATATCACGCAAAAAAGCCAATCGCCAAATCCTAGAGCGAGTCAATGCGCTCTCGAATGGAGACGCGCTCACTGTGGACAAATTCAAGCAAGCGGCCAAGGCGCTTGGAAACCAAGGGATGAGCGGTCAAGCATTTGCAGATTTTCTGCGCTTGACGTATGGCAAACAAGAGGCTGAAAAGTTACTTCTCCTGGTCGTTGAGGTAATTCCGCAACCGTTGGTGCAGCAAGAGCTACGGGTGGCTTTGGTGCGGTAAGCGCGCAGCTATACCCTAGGCAGAGCTGCTTGAGGAAAGTAGGGAATGCCGAGTCCAACTGTAAACGAGTCGTATCCTCTGGGCACAAACGTCGACGGAAATATCGGGGACCGACCAAAACTTTGACAACAAATGGAGCAGCGTCGCTGCCCTGACCAAGAGGTCAACATACACTTGCGGTGACGATTGAAGTTGCCGCGGCATGTACAAATATCCATAAGAACCAACACGATTGCACGATTAGGCAACGATTGTGTCGAGCTTTAGGGCAAGCTCGCGGAATTGCTTGATCTCCATTGTCGATCCGATGCTGTTCTTAAGTAGATTGGCAAATTGCATCTTCGAGTACAGCGCCTACAATTCATGCCAATGTGTAAGTTTCAGTGATACGTGCGTAGAAGAAGTAAGAAACACAATTCACCTTGTTATCCTGAATCCACTCCAAGAGCTCCTTTTCGTCGTAGAAGCAAGCCTTGATGTAGTTACCCACGTACTCGTGACCACGGGGCACCGTTCGAGAGCTGATGTGATTGACCAGGTCCAAACCATTCTGAAGTGTGTACAAGTCCAGCAACATGAGCGCACGACCTTGTGGGGTCGGCTTGACAACAGCAGAATATGCCTGCAGCAGCGTATCCATGACGGTTTGTATCATTGCCGCCCAAATATCCTCACACGCGTCGATTGAGATGGACCCGATCGCCAGGATTCGCAGTCGTCTCCATATTTCTCCACATTTTTGAATCAGTTGCACGATATACTCGTTGTGCCGATCACTGATGTACGTTATGTTCCACGACACTGCAGACACTGAATCCAACAAGGCTGGGGCGTCTACGAGTCGAGTTGTAATTGTACCGTACATGAAGCTGCGGAGTTCCTGCGCCATCGTGCAGTTCTGTTCGAGCATTTCATTCATACGGACGCGGTACTGATCCGGAAGATATGACCGAGCTAAGTCTGCCACAGCATTCAGTAGTCTCGACTGACCAACAACAGCCTCGCAAGCAACGGACCTTGCAGCTAACGCGTACAAACTGCTCTCGTCCGTATCTCCAATACCGGACAGTGTCCGGGCTACTTTACGTAGAGTGACGGTTCGCATCATAGGTAAGCCTAGCTGCTGATCCATGCGCCCAGTACTCGCTTTCGATACCGACAATTGAAGATGTACTTCACCGAAATCAATCTCATCTGCTACTCGACAAATGCCAGTGCGCAGACTGTTCCACTGCGTTGCATCGTTCATCATTGACCCCCCGCGTGAACCGTGAAAAAGATGCACAATGTCGTCTGTGGCAATAAAATTGGTGAAAACGGCGTACAGATGGAGCTCGAAAAGGTTGTTCAGTAAGCGTAGCGCGTCCCAGCTAATTTGTGGAAGACACTCCATCATTTTCAAGTAAGCACCGCATAATCTAGCGGACACATGTGACGTCAGTCATATTTTCAAAGCAGCCGACAAAAGATCTTGCTAATGGTACATACCGGACGAAGCCTGCAAGGCTAGAAGAAGTTAGCACAAACTCTGATTCGTTAGAAGTGGCCACAGGGAGCGCTTGATTGTCGCAATTTCGCAATGATGACATATCACCATTATTCGTGCCGCCCTTCGTTTCATGATGGAAACGAATACCTTGCTTCATCGAGAGCCACTCTATCGAATTGACAGCGATGAATGGATTGCCTTTCACTAAAAACGACGGAAACACACGTCTTGAATAAATAGGGTCAGCCGTGAGATCTCCACAAACCTTCCGCTCGAAAGAGTATCCGCTACGCTTTTCAATCAGCCCGATCAGGCTACGTTGGTCGTCACCATCCATCAAGGGTGTCGTGATGCGAAGCCACTTTTCCGTCTCCAGAAGCATTCGAGTTAATTCAATGTTTTCCTCGTGGAATGCACGCAAGTATTGCTCACACTTGACTCGAAGAGCAGACCGGATTCTGCAGAATAACGTCATTAAGTACGTAAGTAGCGCGGACGTTCAACCACGCAGCAGCACATGATACCCACTTTGATGAAAAGGCCCCAGTAAATTCCTCGCCAATCTCAGTAAACGTTGTCGTCGCCAGTGAAAGCGCAATGATGTGCTCCATCTTATAGCCTAACGTATAAAGACACAAACATGTGTATTCGGATAGCATCAGCATTACAATGACCGTCTTATCATCATGTCTCAACGGACTCACCATATGATATGTCCAGCTTTGCAACAATCTCCAGTACTTTTTGTTGAATATTTTCCCACACGATCATACGGTATCGAAGCAAGGTCACGCCCGTATCACACAGAACTTGACCGTAAAGTGTGCTTTCTGAGCTCGAGTGGCGTGGTCCGATCTTCGTAGAACGATGTGACGGGGACTCGGACTCCTTCAGTGTAGCAGCTTCGTCGCAACGTGTGGGCGAATGGTGGTCCTTTTCTTCACCATGGTCATCGCCATCGTTTCCGTCACTATCACTATCACTTTCATCATCATCGTCGTCGTCGTCATCGATTCCGCAGCGATGGAGGTAGGCGATGTCGTCGTTGAGCGGATTAAATGGATCCCGATGCCATTGAACCAACAAATAGTAACCATGCATCAGGTCGGTGAGATGCTCATAACACCGCGTAACGTCTTCGACTATCTGGGATGCTGGCACTCGAGCTGTGTCTACTCGGTGTCCGGTCTCGCTTGTGTTGTTTTCATTTACCCGCTTCACCACCACTTCAGTTCGTAGTCTATCGGGCGACACAGAACCGGAGACTCGACGCGCAATCTCACTTGCCCTGTCGTCAATAGACCGAACAATGATCTCAGGGATATTGGACAAAACCTCCTTCAGCGCATGCGAGGAGAACTCAAAGCCACGACTTTCGGAGTGGTCTGCTAACGTGATGTATGCTTGAAGCAATTCCTTGTACTTGACGGGGTCAAAGCAACCCGCGACTTTGCACAAAGACTGTGGCAAGCACATTTACCACAGCACAGGGTGAGACGATAGACGACATATTTGATACGGGTAGCACTCTACCTGGTCGAAAAGATCACGCAGTCTCGGAATAAAGTCTTGCATACGTAATCGGAAGTCATCCAAAATCGTAAGACCCTGGAACGCGCTGTGCGACAAACCTTCTCGAAGGCGTCGACAAGTATCGACCTGTCATGCGCAAGCACTCCGCCACAACAGAATTAGTAGTGGACAACGGAAAAGCCCACACTTCCAACACCACAGCACTCACAGCAGTAATGAACCGGTACTCTTGCAGTGCCACGTTCATACTTTCTTCTTCCTCAAAGAACTGCGCAATTTGCGAGCCAATGGAAACAATCTAATTCACGACTCGACCAAGGAACGTAAGAAGTAGTAGCGAATAGGCAAAAGAACGAATGCTCATCTTACCTCACTGACACGATCTCGATTTCTTTTAGTTTTTACGATTTCAAAAGAACTGTACGCCGTATCCAGCATCAGCATCTGCCACAATGAGCTACCACCCACACGGCAAATTTGAAGCAAAACTCTACCTGAGAATCAAGTCGCTTTTTGCTGTTGCAAGCAGACGACGACCGTTTTTGACGTGAATATGCGCTCGAACTAAGTCGAGATCGACTTCCTGCACCACTTTCATGCCTTGTATCAACGCGTTGTAATTTGCTCGCACATTATCTTGCAATTTTGCCAAAACGACGTCTTTTGCCACATCCACAGCACTGATCTCGGTGCGCATGAACGCATTTAGTTCGCTCTTGCCCTCAGGAAGGTTTTCCTGAAAAAAGCAAGCAAGCAAATACACACAGAACAATGGCGTAAATAATTCTTCACCGCTTGCAGAGATCGGGTCACGCGCGTACGAGCGTATACGCCACAGGATCAAACTTCTCCGTAAAGAACCGAGCATCCAGCGCCTCCAGCACTTCGTCGTCTTTCTGTGGCACAAGTACTGACATAGCCCTAGCCGTCTGGTGGAACAATACAACACAAATTAATTAATGACGCAATGCGTCGACCACAATTAATTGTACCAACTGATACATCTGTTGCAATAAAATTCAATTAATTTTTACCCGTGGCGTCGGAAGCGATTCAGGCGACAATAGCGTCGTATCCGTGTCGGAGCTGCTGTTGCCCACTTCCGTACTGCATGGACGCTTGTTGCGCTTCACAAAGAGCTTCCGCGGCAGCCTGGCCATCCACTGCTGATCCTTGAGTCTCGCCAGCATCGGCAACTCATCCAGTATGTCACGCACGTCGAGCGAGCGCCTGGTCGACGCCGTTCCATCCTGCACAGTCACCTGGATCGGCGTCTGCATGCTATTGTGTCTCTTTTCAACCAACAATCAATTCAACATCGATTCACAATAAATATTGTTCCCATTCTTCAGCTGCTGATTTGGGTCGATCGCGCTAAAATGGGTCCACCACGCCGGATACCCTTGTGGTCTGCATTTCAGCCAATCCCAAGCCGGGCACAACACCTTTTTTTTTAACCCACTCTCGTATTCAAGCTCAGAAAGGATGGCCACCGTCGCTGTGGTCGGCAGCGCGCCCCACGGCGTCTCCAACGAGACACGCGCACGCGCAGACGCGCTCAAAGCACAAGGCAACGACGCGCTGGCGCATTTCAAGGTGGCTGCAGCCATCGAGCTGTACTCGCGAGCCATCGAGCTGGTCCCGACGGCGATCTTTTACGCCAATCGCGCGGCAGCACACGTCAAGAGCGAGAGCTACGGGTTGGCGATTGACGACGCGTCGGCAGCGATTGCACTGGATGAAGGATACGTAAAAGGTGCGTTTCGATGGGGGTAGGGGAGAGGGAAGGAGAGGGGAGAGATGGACTCATTTTGGAGACGCGGTGTGTGGTTTTGTGTGTGTGTGTGTTTGTTGCTGTTGTTGGTTGTAGCTTATTATCGACGTGGATCGGCCGAGCTGGCGCTAGGACATCACAAGAAGGCGGTGCGGGACTTTCGTCGCGTTGTGCGGATGAAGCCGCAGGACCGAGACGCGCGGGCGAAGCTCAAGCTGTGCGAGAAGATCATTAAAGAGGCGGCGTTCGCGGCAGCCATTCAGTCGGAGCGTAATTTGCCGCTCTCGGAGACAATTGACGTGAATTCAATGGGTACGTTTGGAGCGACTTATACACGCAGAGAGAGAGCGTGTGTGTTTGTTTGTGTTGTAGTGTGGTGTGAGGGGCGCTGATGGATGTGGCTGTGGCTGTTGTAGTGGTGGACCCGTCGTACGACGGCCCGCAGCTCCCGGAGGACGTGGCACAGCTCAAGCCGGACTTCATTGTAGCCCTGATTGACCGGTTCAAGCGCGGGAAGTTGCTGCACCGCAAGTTTGTGATCCAGATCTTGCTTAAAATCAAGGAGATGCTGTGTGCTCTTCCCTCGCTGCTGCGCATCTCGCTTCCGCGTGACAATCCGGATGCACACTTTACCGTGTGCGGCGACACTCATGGCCAGTTTTACGACGTGTGCAACATCTTCTCGCTCAATGGACTGCCGAGCGAGACGAACCCTTATTTATTCAATGGCGACTTTGTTGATCGAGGCTCGTTCTCGCTGGAGGTGGTAATGACGCTATTTGCCATGAAAATCGTGTATCCACAGCACGTGCACTTGCTGCGCGGGAACCATGAGTCAAAGAATATGAACAAGATCTATGGGTTCGAGGGCGAAGTGAAGCACAAGTACGATGAGACAGTCATGCAGCTCTTCACGGAGGTGTTCAACTGGCTACCCCTTGCGGCAGTGATTGAAGACAAGGTGCTTGTTGTGCATGGCGGTCTGTTCTCGGATCAGAATGTTACGCTAGCTGATATCGAAAAGATCGACCGTAACCACGAGCCGCCTGAAAGTGGACTCATGAGTGACTTGATGTGGAGCGATCCTCAGCCATTCCCGGGTCGCGGTCCCAGCAAACGCGGCATCGGTCTTTCCTTTGGGCCTGATGTGACAAGCGCCTTCTTGCAGCACAACAAACTTGGTACGGCCAGATGCTGCCACTGATCTTTTTGTGCGGGTAATTGACGCCTTCGTATCGTCTTGCGGCGATGTAGATTTGTTGGTGCGCTCGCATGAGGTCAAGGATGAGGGATACTTAGTAGAGCACGACGGAAAGTGCATCACAGTTTTTAGTGCACCAAACTACTGCGACCAGATGGGCAACAAGGGCGCGTTCATTCGCTTTGGAACTGACATGCAGCCCCAGTTCACGCAATTTGTGGCGGTGGTACGTGCAATTTTGCATGCGGACATATAGAACATAAGCGTGCTCACAACTGCGCGTTTCACTGTTATTTGTTTGTGCAGGAACACCCACCAATTCGGCCGATGGCATATGCCGGTAACATGGGCGGTATGTTCGGCTAGACTAACGCGAGCGTAGGCAGGTGTCCAGATAGGAGAAATCGAGCAGCAATCAGCGTGTGACCTCTAGGCACTAGTTCTTGCTTAAATAAAGACGGTACGCGCGCCTTGCTCTATACGCCGGTGGCAATCTCATTCAAACAAGCGATTCATCAACATGCGAGCGTTGTCGCGACAAGTCTTGGTCTGTCCACTTTGCCCCGAGAAATGATTTTGATGGAACTGCTCAACTACGCCCGCTTGATATCCAGAGAAACGCGCACTTGGCGGCGACGGTGGAACCCGGTGAGCAAGTGCTGCTACTGAACAGAACACTTCGTCACCGTTCAACTGCGCTAGCGCTGCGACGAGCTCTGAGGTTTGTTCCACGACCTCTTGTGGTGCTGAACAACTAAGATACTTGTAGCACATGCGGGTAATTTCGGGCACAAGCGGGGTCATCGTCTTTGATTGCTGGCATGCCATGGTCAAACACGATAGAATCGCTAGCAGTTGGTGGACTTCCTGTGTTTTCCGTACTCCGCGCACAGAATCGGGTTCGTCACCTGCTGGTGTCTGCACGTCAATACGCGATCGAGATGATTGAGCATCCACGGCACATGGGTCTTCACTAGGAGGTTTCAGGAGCAATAGCATTGACCGCGTGAGCTGTGGCGACTTCGCGTCTGAGTCGAAACAAATGGACTGAAGTTGTGATCGAAGAATTGGCCACACCTTCTCAACAAAGTAGGTTCCCACGAAATCGCCTGCTGCTTCTGCCACGGTGGTGATGACACGCACCGTGCTAGTGACGATAGCACGGTTATCCACTCGTAGTCGGGACAGCAACTCGGGCCACATGCGTGTAATAAGAGGCCATAACTGTTTTCGGTATCTCGAAAGAAATCGCACACCTTCATCAATCAAGGACAAAACCAAACAGCAAGCGATCGGATCCGATTCCACGAGAAAATAACCACACCGATCGACGATATCGATGACCAGAGTGCCGTGGCCTGATACGGCTGTATTATCTGCCTCATTATCGTGATCGCCATCCTTGCGCTCAGATTGAATATCATCGTACTCCAAGGGCAGAGCAGCTTTCACACTCACAAGGTCCTTTTTCTCAAGACCGGGCTCCACCTCTTTGTCGGCATCCTCAGTTAGAATGCCAATACCGCAATTTTCTAACACCTTCAGTTCATGGACAAAGTCGTCCAGAAGCGACCGAGACGCCGCTGGTTCTTCCAGGTCTTCATCACCAAGTGTATGCACTGCGTCATCTTCGACTTCTCGGACGTCACGCGCAATGCTACCAAGTAGAGCCTTCAGTGCACGCAGCAAACCGCCGATGTGAGACGAGTCTTGATACACATCAACACTCCGAAGCAACGACGTTGCCACCTCATCTACTAAAGGCAAGGATGCCAATCGCGTGTGCTTCAGCAGAGCGTCAACGACAAATGCGGTCATAGGATAAGTATCCAATTGCTCAAGCCGAGCACATAGCGCGTCCACAAAGTAGTCCATATTGACTTGGAAAAGAGCCTCAAGAGACTCATAGCCGGTGAAAAAATACACTTTCTCCAACGCAACCAGCGCTGCACGCTCTACTTCGACGCTGCGTGATCCAAGTTGCTCGACCAATGGGTAAAGAACATGGAGTAAAAACACTTTGAACTCGACGCCGAGAATTTCCGCACATACGCCAACGCACTCCACCATAAACGCACGTTGAGACACAAGTACTTTACTGGAAGCACAGTTCGAGGCTTGCGAAGAATGCTCATCCCATGCATTCAGCGCCAGTAAGTCCTCTAGAATGCGTCCGGTAAGATGAACATCTATCACTCGATGATCCGAATGAACCTTATTTTCCTTGTTTGGGCAGTATGCCCGTAAGAATTCGTTTAAAACCAGCACAACTTCACTGGCTTGCGTAGACACCACGCTTGCATCGGATAGTAGCGTAAAGGCGCAGTCAATAAAGCCAGCTGGCGTCAACACGGCACCGATCTCACGCACCATCGCCAATACCTCGCGGACTGAGACCTCTTCATTGAAAAAGCGCAATCGTTTTTGAAACTGAGCGACCACGACTCGCGCTGTACTACTATTACTGCTTCCACTAGCCTCGGTCAAAGTTGGCAGCGACTGATGAGATATCAACGCAATGTCAAGCGTAGCAAATGACACGACGCGACATAGGGAAGTATAAATGCTTTCCATAGATGCGTCAAGATACGGGGTGAGACTGGATCCAAGAAATTCCACGTATCCCCGAAGTGTGCGCACAAAGTGCATCTTTGTGGCTTCATGTTCTGTAGCAACCTTCAGCACAAGCGTAGAAAGCAGCATTTGGAAACGATCAGCCATCTCTGGTAGCACTTGTAATCGCTCTTCCAACGACAAAGACGACGTGTGTAGCTTTTGGAGCACCTTATCGGCTTCCTGAGAAACCTCCGGAATCACGTCACCGCGAAGAACCAGAAGCTCGTCATAACATCGAAAGAAGGAAACGCGGAGCCCACGTCGACACTGGAGCATCACAGTACCGCAAAGTTGCGCAAGTGCACAGCGCACTCGCCAGGAAGAGCGCGGTAGTCCTGTCTTGGTGCCATCTGCGGCAAAAGCCGTGGCACTCGCGGCGAACATTCGTGTGAACAACATGTCCATGTTCGTGGCAGCTTCCTCTATCCATTTCTCGTCTTCACTTGACCGCACGTTGACTGAGTCACTTGTTTTTGTCGTAATTTCCTTTTCCGTGCCATTCTTGCTAACAGAATGTCGGATTGCTTCGAGTGTAAATCTTTGCTCCTGCTTTTGCTTTCTGCCTCCTGGCAAAAGTCCATCACTAATGCACATATCTAGAACCAGGGAAAGACACTGCAACGCCGCAACGATCACCTTCGACGCTTGATGCGGTGCGTTTGCACTTTTCCACAATCCAGCAACGACACCAGGCAAGTATTGCCGCAATGTGGGCGGGTCGCGAACGAACAAGAAGACACACTTCAGCACTTCGATAGCTTTCAACGCAACCTCTCTGCATCGACCGGTTTGAGCGACATGCAACAAGGATGCCACTGCGTATGCAAAGAAGAGCTGTTCGTCCACTTGAAGTTGCACTATCTGCTTCTCTTTCTCTGGTTCCTTCAACAGCTCCCATAGACTCTGCAGAATAGCAAGTCTCAGCTCCTCCGACTGAGAGGAAAGAGTCACGGGATCGAATCCGATTTCATCCTTATCCAGAGCAGCTTCTGGCGGTGACGGCAGATACAACACGCAGGTCTGCACGAAGGTCAGGTGCCGCTGCACTTGTCCAGGACGATCGCTTACCATCCGAGGCTTGCAGCGTCGAACCACGCGAGCAAAAACTCCAAAAGAGATCTCCTGAAGCACTAGCGAGTGTGAATTTCGTATAAAAGAGCCCAGCAGTCTGTGCAGTGAGTGCATCACCAAATCATCCATCGCTGCGAGACCCACGAGTGGTGCATCGATTGGCACTTTATCAGTAAGCGGAGATGAACCCAAGTGTTCATATAGCTTCACCAAGTCTTCCATGACCATCTGCAGCTCTTTGTTGAGATCGGCACTTGGCTGGAGCTGCACGAAACGCGACAGACGCGTGCACAAGTCAACATAAGCCGTCACTTGTGCCATGCTTGTCACTTTGATCGAATATTGTGTAAAGTTCATGTGCACACGATAATCCCGATGATGTTGTCCCAAATTTGGGCTTTCACTGCTGTTTCGGACGATGGAAAATCCAACTCAGCTTACAATGAAATTTTCGACTGGTCAGTGGCAAAAATCCACTTGCTTACAGTCGATTCCCTTGCCTTTTGTGTGAGCGAATTTGATCACTATTCCGACAAGCACAAATTTACCCGCTCTCAGTATGCGATCGTAGATTTATAAGCGATCTCCCATTGGTCTATGATCGTGCACTAAAAGCAGGTGAATTTTTATATAATTATGGCCAATGTGTGATTCATCATTTAGCTGTTTCAGCGAATCAGACTGATAGGGTAGGACAATCTCATTCCATCATCATTCCAACACATTTTGTCGGAATGAGGATGGAAAAATGTGTGATCTCCATACAAATGCCAAGTCCAAGGCACACTGAGTTGCATATTTGTAATAAAATCCGATAAAATAGAGCACCTCTCTATTTTATTAACTGTATAAGTTATTGAATTTACATAGTAGCGATAAACAGATTCAAAGTTAATTCCGCGATGACATGATCATTAGGCTTGTGTTTTAGCATGTCAGACTAGCATACAAATGCTTAGTCACAACTGCGGCAAACTGAATATCAGTTTTACACACGCTTGTGCACTTCAATAACAAGACAGCACAGGAACATGAGCGTTCAGTCGTTGGTGCCAGCCAACACCAAGTCGGCCATGTCCATAACTGTGAACAATTTTAAGATTATCTCGCGTCGGATTCCATCACGGGGGACAGCTGAACATGTCTATTCTCAGTGACCCGTATGGTGTGTACTTCGTCGCAGGAATGGAGAAGCTTGTCGTGCACCTCGCCTATATCAAGTGTAAAGGGGTGAATCGTTACATAACAATTTATAAGAAATTGTTAATAGAATATAACTATAAGAGTGATATTCTCTGAATATTGTCATAAGGACAAATATTCTGTAGCGCCTACGAGTAGTTCCTAATTGGTTGATATAGGCCATTATATCAACCAACGAAGACGCGCCACGACAGACGCACGCAATGAGTGATGAGCAGATAACTGATTTACACATTTGTATTTAGACATAGTTAGATGAAGATAAATAGTGTTTTATTGCAGACATTAACTATTATAAATACAGTTCTACTTTTTACTTTAACCAAGTACTCGCTTCTTCTTACCGTCTTCCTCTTCACGTACGAGCGTACGTGAAGTTACGAGGCACCGCCTAATTCTTTCATCAGAATAAGTAGCTTGTACTGTCACCAGTACAAGCTTCAGGGTGCCCCGTTACACCTGGTAGCACTTTGTAGTCCGTCCAAGGACCGCGTTCACATCCAACATGAATATGTTGGATGATGAAGATGACCAAAGCTTTCACGCTACACGTGACGGCTACTCCCATTTGAGCGATGTCGAATGGGATGCGGTTGAACGAATGGGTTCGACCATGGGCATCCATGCTGTTAGCGTCATGCTAGAGGCTCTCAATAGAGATGCCCAACATGCTACTATCGACAAGTTCATTCGAAATGAACTTGACGCTGAACGCGAGAAAGTAGCCTTGCTTCACCAACAAGGTTCTCAACAAGCAGAGTTGTTGAGAGAACAGGGTGCTCAACAGTTTGAGCTTTTGAGACAGCAGCAGGCTGCTGCTGGCGGGTCGATGTACTCGCGTCAACCCGAGACCTTGAAGATTGACATCTCCAAGTATGAAGGAGTCGAAGAGGACTCCCTCTTGAGACGGTTCGTCGAATTGGATGACGCCATAAGGGCGCGTCGCATCGACGACGGGGATATGCAAGTTGCATTTGCCCAGTCAAATCTGGCAGGACGTGCCAAGACTTGGGCACTGGGGCTCAAGTTGCACGACCCATATGCGTTTGGGTCGTTGGAAGTCTTCAAGTCGCGGCTCAGACAAACGTTTGAACCGCCTAGAGCTGAGTTCAGAGCTCGAACCGAACTCTTGAAGCTCAAACAGGGTAAGCGTGATGTGCACGCTTACGCTCAACATATACGACATCTCACGAGCTGTATAAGTTCCAATCCGGTGGATGAACACACGTTGGTTTCGGTGTTCATGCAGGGTCTTGCGGATGGTCCCGTCAAGACTCACCTGTTCCGGCTTGAACTAGATTCACTAGAACAAGCCATTTCCATTGCGGAGCAGGAAGACTTCAGTCTGAGACAGGCTCGCGCCAGCTCGACATCATATCGTCAACCGAGACGATATGACAACGGAGGTCCAGAGCCGATGGAACTCTGTTATGTAGAGAGCGAGAAGGCTCGCTCTACAGGCTACAAGAAGTTGCAGAGATGCAACAGATGTCAAAAGACAGGACAATACGCTTATGAGTGTAGTGCCTCTCGTCCAGTGTCTCGCGACACTGGGCGTAGTGACCGTGCACCCATGAGAAAGGGGCAGGGACGAGGGTCCGCTGTTGGTGCAAAGACGCAACAACGGGATGGACCGTCAAAAAACGGACAGGATCAGTAGGTGCGGAGCACCCTACTGGTCCGGCAACGTCAAGAGAATTTGTAGGCCTCTTGATGAAGGTTGCTCCCAACACACAAACGTTGTGCGTTGCTGCTCTAGGTAATGAGGTCTCACTCATTACCTTGAAACTCGAAGTGACGAATAAGTTGTCCCTTCGAGCTCTAGTCGATTGTGGGGCGTCCAACAATTTTGTGCGACGCCAATCGCTAGAAAATGGTCACTTTAAGTTCAGTGAATGTTACACACCTCCTACGAGGATGACGGTACGTCTTGCGACAGGCGCATCCGTAACCGTCATGAAGCGTATAGTGAAGATCCACTAACGCTAGAAGATACCCAATATGACGATGACTTTATCGTATTGGATTTGGATGACAAATTTGATGTCATCCTTGGAATACCGTGGCTCAAAAGGTACGAACCACGGGTAAACTGGCAACATCGGACAGTAACGATGCCTGCCGCTTGTTCATCAGATGGCCATCTGATGAGCGTTTTGGAGCGTTAACAAGCGTGTGGATGTATTACGAGTGAGTGAGATGGCCTCACTTGTGGTACGGTCGTTAGTACGACTGCACAAAACCTTAGTGTACCAAACGGTTACACTTCGGAGCAAAGTTCCGGCGGCTGTGAGGAAACACAGGCTGCGCCGAAGGTCCACCACTCGAATAAGTCGGGTGGACTGGGACAAAGATGTATCCCTAGCGGGGAACATCTAGAAGAGAAACAATCGATCGCTCAGGTTAAGCGAAACGATAATCCTAGATCGAGTGGATAGTCTTTCGTAGAGGATCTCGCTGTGGTTGCGCAACCCCAGCTTGAGGAAGTTAAGGGAATAAGTCCCAAGATTACAAATACGGCGGAAATAAGTTCCCCGAAACCCGCGGGAATAAGTCCCCTGGAAGACGAAGGAATAAGTCCTTCGAAGCCTGAGGGAATAAGTCCCCAGGAAATGACAGAGACATTGAATGTCCTAGTCAAAGACGGATCAAGTGTAGGCGCTTATACACTTGATCTGATTGCGCCTCCGAAGTTAACTTCGGAGATCACTCAGTTGCCAACGCTCGAACACAAAAGGTTCTTGCGTGATCTGCGTAGTGGCAAAGTCAAGCAGATCTGCGTTCTCGTCGCTGACGACGAGTGTGTAGCCGACATAAGGTCAGCAACAGTGTTTACTGAGAACGAGAGAGTTCTCAGTAGTTCATCTATGGACGAGAGTGTCCTAGATGAAAAGACACGAATTGAGCGATATGACTCCCAATCATGGGAATCGCTCAAGACAAATCCTCTCTATGAAGATTTGGTTGAATTCAAGGATGTATTCCCTGAAACTGTTCCGTGCGAATTACCGAAGGATAAAGGTATTCGACACGAAGTCGAGCTTAAACCGGGCTCAAAGTACTGTGTCATGAAGCAGTGGCCACTGCCTCGTGAACAAGTACTTGCGATCGACAAGTTCTTTGCCGATCGTTTAGCAGCGGACCATGTGAGGGAATCAACTTCCCCACATAGCTCTCCGACCTTCTGTGTGCGAAAAGAAACAGGAGGGTGGCGGATAGTGCACGCGTTCAACAAATTGAATGCTGCAACGGTACCGGCTCAGACGCCGATACCGAGGAAGGACGTAATCATTGATGGTATGTCAAAGAGTACCATCTTTTCGTCCATGGATTTGATGGATGGCTTCTATCAAATCCTTATGCGAGAACGGGATATACCCTATACCGCAGTGAGCACGCCTAGCGGCATGCTCTGGGAATGGCTAGTAATGCCACAAGGGCTCAGTAATGCCCCTGCCACGTTCAACAGATGTGTATCACATCTGTTGAGACCAGTATGAGAATTCGCGCCGAGTTATTTCGATGACGTATTCATCCATAGTCGAGCTATGGATGGAAAGTCGGACGTTGAGGTTCACAGGTACCACGTCCGACAGGTTCTTACAATCATTCGAAAGCATCAATTGTATGCAAACATCAAGAAGTGTATATTTGCCGCAAGCGAAATACCACTTCTTGGGAGCATCGTTGGTAAGAACGGTGTACGTCCTGATCCCGAAAAGATCAAGGCGATCACCGACTGGCCTGTGCCGGTCGATGTCAAAGGTCTTCGAAAATTCCTTGGGCTAGCGGCGTATTTGCATGAGTATTCACGCAATAACGCCGAGATGACTGCGCACCTCTCTCGTTTGTTGAAAAAGAACGAGAGGTGGTTATGGAACGCTGAATGTCAGCGCTCCTTTGATGGTATCAAGCAGAGCTTGATACAATCCCCAGTCCTAGCAATAGCCGATCAGGACAGACCTTTTCATGTGGTCTGTGATGCCAGCGATTTCGCAATCGGCTGTGCATTAATGCAGTACGACCTAGAAGGCGTTGAACGCGTCGTCTGCTATCAGTCGCGTCAGCTGCAACCAGCTGAGCGGAACTATCCAGTGCATGACGAAGAACTCCTTGCCATGAAGTATGCACTCGCGAAGTTCAGAGTCTATCTATTAGGAGATAGACCCTTTATTGTTTACACTGACCATGCGTCATTACGCACGGCAGTGAACAGCCCGCACCTCTCACAACGAATGGCGCGGTGGTTGTCATTCTTTGCAGAATACGACTTTGCGGTCGAGTACAAACCAGGACGACTTAATGTCCTCGCTGATGCACTCTCACGTCGTCCCGACTTTGAAACAGTCGCGAAACCTAACAGTGAGACAGTCACTGTTGCGGTTATAACGTCCTCAGTCCCATCTACAACGTTGTACGATGATGTGAGGCGGGCATACGCCCAAGATGGTGAGATAGTGAAGTTGTTGACACATCTCTCCCAACCATCTCGAGAATCGTTGAAACGATTGTCGTCTGCGTATCGATCTGCATCAGATCGATACACTACTCGTAACGGTTTACAGTATTATACAGCCGTTTCTGGTGACACACCACGTGTTGTCATTCCAGATGATACTGATCTGCGTTTGCGGATCATGTTCGAGTATCACGATGCTCCTATAGGAGGACATCGTGGCCGAGAGAAAACATATCTCACGGTGAGTCGAGACTTTTACTGGCCCCGCCAGTATCAGTTTGTGCGAAAGCATGTTCGCGCATGCGAAGTCTGTCAACGAGTGAAGTCAAGTCCTTCACTGCGTGCACCTTTACAGCCTCTACCGTTTCCGGCTGAGTGCTGGGAATCCATCTCAATGGATTTCGTCTTCGGGTTACCCAAAGACGCACGCGGGAATACGGGTATTCTCGTATTTGCTGACAGATTCAGCAAAATGGTACACCTTGTGGCTGTACTAGAGACAAGCACGACAAGTGGCTGTGCTTGTGTCTTTATTGACACCATCTTCCAACTTCATGGGTTGCCCCGTGAACTCGTATCAGACAGAGATCCACGATTCACTGCTGATTTCTGTCGTTCCGTGTTAAAATCACTCGGAACGCGCTTGAAGATGTCAACATCTGATCATCCAGAGTCAGATGGTCAGACGGGACGTGCCAATCGTGTCCTTGAAGAGATACTTCGAGGATACGTACACTCCTTTAAGAGTTGGAGTGAGTTTTTGCCAATGGTAGAGTTTGCCATCAGCAACTCGGTGCATGCGTCCACGACACATACACCGTTTTACGTGAGTGGCTCGCGCCATCCGCGTGTACTCAACTTACTAGAGTGTAACTCTGGTTTAAGGGGGGGAGGGAATCGCGCGAGCAAAAACCGATTTGGTTTCTTGCTCATCACGCTCTGACGAAGAAGTCATTGCGTTTGATGCCGATATCGATAACATCGATATCGAAGAAGATGATGCCAGTGAGATTGCGGAAGCCCTCACTGAAGAAAAGGTTGATGTTGCCGCAGTGCGCTCACAGCGCACTGAAGCTAACGAGTCATCAGATGAGTTCATACTGGCTCGTGAAACGGTAGTCCGTTTTGTGCAAGACTCCATCGCCGAAGCGGTGGATAAGCAAAGCAAAACGCTGACAAGAATGGAAGGGCAAACTCTCTTTTATTTAATAAAGGTGACTTAGTCCTACTGTCTACGGTTAATCTACCAAAGCATGTAGTGACTAACTTGGGTAGCAGTAAACTACTACCCAAGTACATCGGCCCATTTCGTGTATTGCACCGCCTAGGCAATGCATACACGATCGAGTTACCACGTAAGATGCGAACGCATCCCACGTTTTACGTTGGTCGGCTTAAGCCGTACCATCAGTACGCTGCTTCTTCCGATGAAGAACGCCCTTGCGCTCAAGCATCTCGCAGAGAGCCTTGTGCTCCCGATGGTGGGCATCAACAAGGGTCTGAAGAGCAGCTATCTCATCCCGAGACCGATCAGCAATCCCACGAGCTACTCTTAGCTCGTCACGAAGAGATGTCAGAGATCTCTCGTTCTCAAGCTGAGCAAAGGCAAACTCAGCTCGATGCTTCGAGGCAGTGTCCGCCATTTGGAGACGCCTATTCCGCTCATGTTCGAGATCGTCGCGTAACCCTTGCGTTACGCGATCAAAGAAGCTCTCGGGAACACACCGATCCACATGATCGTGTGGAGAGCGTCTTTCCTCCTCCTCCACCTCCATTAGAGGACTCTCGCGGTGGCCAGCGCTATCTAGTTGAGCAGCTGTTGAACCACCGCGACGTGAACGGACGTCGGACGAGTTATCTCGTCCGGTGGCGCGGCTATCCCCCGTCCTGGGATTCTTGGGAGCCCCGCTCCCAACTAATGATCGACGTACTGGGTCTGGTTGAGCAGTACGACGCGGCACATCCTGTGCCGCAGAAGGACCGCCGGAGAAAGTCTTCCCGGCACGGTCGTAAAGGGATTTCAGGTTGTCAATCCCTTCGTACATCTCAGTAGAGACACGTACGCGCCACCACGGGCTGGTAAGGAGGTAAGCCTCCTTAGGTGCTCGTGCAGAGTTGTTCACACAACATGGACACGAGTCTCCCCAAGAGAGGCAGGGTAATCCTTTCTCCCTTGACAGACGATGCAGCTTGTAGCGTGCACCTGTCGGGGTTCGCTTTTCAAACTTATCACGAGCTTTGATAAGTTTGTCGTTCCAAGCGTCACGACCTACATCCTCGAGGTTATGGATGTAGGCGTTCCACGCCTGAAGTAGTGAGGGACCATCACGTTTGTGATTCCCACTGTACCATCGATGTCTAAAGAAAGCATCGATGAAGAATTCGTTTTCAGCGCGATAGTTTTTCGCGCTGGGGTCAAGGTGATGGATCCTTGACGAATCGAACAATCGTGTTCGATAACGATCACTCGTCGTCGCCGACAAGTGATCCATGACGGATTTTGGAGGCATCCATGCCTTCTTCTCGGGAGCGAGACGCAAGACATTGCGGTCCCGCTCTTCCTGCGACGTGCCGACAGAAGTACTGGCACCTCGTTGCGAAGTGGTGTCCATAGGAGAACCGACACCACTGTTAGCGCCCGAGTCTTGCAACCTCGAGCGCCTTCGCTTCGGCGATGGTTCATCTGATTCATCAGATGAACCAAAGATGCTGCGACGCAAAGCATCGTCCATGCCACGCTTGGCAGGCGGCTTAGATTCAATCGCCGTCGATACGGATCCGTCATCCGTATCAGGAGAGTACGAGACACCGAGCTCGTACTCTGTGAAGACACGAGTGCCTTCATGACCAGCGCCTGCATCACCAAGTGAAACAGGCTGGGTCGCTTCAGCAACCGATGAGACATCAGTTGCTGTTGTTTCTGCTTCGGCATCCGCACAGAGACGTGCGGACGCGCTCTCGGCGGCCTTGCTCGCGCATCGCATGGGCTTGTTAGCCATGCGATGAGATGTTGGAAAGTGGACTCGGACCAACAAGTGCAAACCCTGTCCCAAATGATTTGGGACGAGTATCCATTTAGTCAATCGGTCACTAAAGTGACTGATGGTTAAGGGGGGGGTGATGTAATGGGGTGAATCGTTACATAACAATTTATAAGAAATTGTTAATAGAATATAACTATAAGAGTGATATTCTCAGAATATTGTCATAAGGACAAATATTCTGTAGCACTTACGAGTAGTTCCTAATTGGTTGATATAGGCCATTATATCAACCAACGAAGACGCGCCACGATAGACGCACGCAATGAGTGGTGAGCAGATGATTGATTTACACATTTGTATTTAGACATAGTTAGATGAAGATAAATAGTGTTTTATTGCAGACATTAACTATTATAAATACAGTTCTACTTTTTACTTTAACCAAGTACTCGCTTCTTCTTACCGTCTTCCTCTGCACGTACGAGTGTACGTGAAGTTACGAGGCACCGCCTAATTCTGTCATCAGAATAAGTAGCTTGTACTGTCACCAGTACAAGCTTCAGGGTGCCCCGTTACATCAAGGGCACCATTGGCGAATTTTTGGCGAAAACTCTGTGATTTCCTATTACAGACAAGTGAAGAAGTGGCGACTCGGGTTCTTTGCTTCACAAATACCACTTGCTGGATACAGGTTACTCGAGATGGTGCGCACTCTGGGGAGACACTGCGTGTCGAGGGAGTAAAGGGGGGTACTCGTAAAAAGCTGAATCGTGCACAAGAGGTGATTTTCTATTGCTTACGAATTACCTCTACATGACTGCCACGAGATCGAAGGACTACCACGACGCTGCACTTGTGTGCCTAATGTGGCATATCTTTGGCCGGGCTTCTGAGCTGTCGCTGGTTCTCAAGAAAGGTCTGTCCATTAGCGCCAGCAATGTACTGTTCAAAATGACAGGCCCTTGGCTGGCAGAGGGACCGATCGGCCCAAAGTTGAAAGGCAACTCTGGGGTGTGTGTGGCAAAAGTGAGAATGAATTATATGCTAGCGATAGCGC